GAGTTAACTAAACACTGACAATAGCGACATCAATTACTCATAAAACGGGAATATAGAGGAAGAAAAAAATTTCATTCTGTCCGTAACTAAGTGATGCTAAGAGACATGAATGGCAGATAATTTTAAATAAATAAAACAAAATTTCTACATTTAATCTTCGGCTTTTCATCAATCGTCAAAATGAATCGAGCAAATTCTGGACGTCGTCCTCCAGCAGATCAAAACTCAATAGAGGCAAAATATTTAACATCTACTGTAGGCAAGTATATATGTTTCATTATATTTTTATTTCTTCTGATCTATAAATAGGACCCGTATTAATTCGTGGTTTAGCTGAGATTGTTGAACGTCGTCCACATGATCCCATTGAATATTTAGCAACATTTCTTTATAAACAAGTTGAAAATACACGTACTCAAAAACAAGTAATTTTATCTTATTTTTATGATTAGATTTCATTCAAATAATCTATTTTAATAGAAAGAACATGATGCAAAACAATTAGAAATTGAACGAAAAAAAGCGGAAGAAGAAAAAGAACATCGTGCACAACTCAAAAAAGAAATTCGTGAATTACGTGAAAAAGAAGAAAATGAACGAAAACAACGTGAAGCTGAAGAAAGACGTAAACGAGAAGCTGAAGAATTAGCTAAACGGTATTAATCAAATAGTTTCATCATTTATCTAATCATTTTTTTCTTGCTAAATTTAGCCATCGAGAATTAGCAGCAGCACCACCCCCACTACCAGCAGTACGTGAAGAAGATGATATTTTAGGTATGGAATTTGGTGAAACAGAACTTCATCGACAAGCTGCTGTTAAAGGTACATATAAATTTGTATATAGAATAAATAATTTGACATCTCATTGTTAGGTGCTGATCTATTGACTTTACTTAAAGAAAACTATCAATTAATGGCATCACGTAATGCTGAAGGAAAAACACCAAGAGATATTGCACGTGACGCTGGCCTTCAAGAACATGTTCATGAAATTGGTTTGTATTATTTATAAATAAATCAAATAGAATTTCTAAAATATTTTGTTTAGATAATTATTGTGTTCAATTACTTCAAAATGGAAATACAAAAGCAATTAATGATTTACTTTTATGTGGTTATACAGAAATAACCAATCATTTAAAACCAACTGAAGATCCTGAAGATGATACTAATGAGTTTATTAATCATGACATTCCTCAATTATTAGTAATATTAACATATTAATTTTATATAGAAATATAAAATTTAATTCATTTGTAGGAAAAAGTAAAAGAATTACAACATGCAATCAAAGAAGGAAATACTAAAGCAGTTGATACAATCATATTTGATCGTAAAAATATTGCACTCTATCGAGATGCTGAAGGTTCATCATCATTACATGATGCTATTGAAAATCATCAATATCATATCGCAGTCAATCTCTTACAAAAATATCCAGGATTAGCAAATGTGAAAGATATTGTAAAACTATAAAGAAAATCTAGATTTATATAAAATATTTTTTTTCTAATCAATTTTAGCGTGAACGAACAAGTATTGATTTATTTAATTCAATCGATGAAGATACTGTAACAAACAGTCAACGTGATGCCTATGATCAACTTAAAGAAGCTTTAACAACATCATCACCAAATCCGCAAGCTGATTAAAAGAACTTTTTATTTATTTCAATGAAATTTCCTTTCTCTTTTTGCTTTTTTCTTTACACATTAAAAAAAACACTTGTATCTGAATTTAAACATAGACACATGATGAGCAAAAGCTCATGCAAGTATGTAGAAAAAAAAAGAACAAGAATACAAATAAATAGAATTTAATTGCCTGTTATTTTTGGAATAAATATCAGAGCAAGAAGACCACCAAGTGCAATCGCAGATATAGATGCAATTGCTACGATCATGATATATTCTAAATAAATAATAAGAGAGTTAGTTTTCGAGAAATTATGAAACTTACTATCTTCCCAAAAGAATTTATCTTGCATTTTATGTGCCATATTTTTCATTTTTTCCGCATCACGAAATAAATCTGTTGATCTCATATCAAGTTCTTCAAGACGAAGATTTCGAATTAATGTTTTTTCATATGTATCTGTAATAACATTCATTAATCGATCGACTTTATTCTGTGCATTTGCTATTTGTTGTTCATCAACAGGTGTTGGAATTTGTTTAGAAAATTTTCTTCGATCATCAACATCACCACTACCACCACCATCATTCATCAATGTCATATTATTAGATAATTGATTATAATCATTTATGGGTATTTCTATTTGTTGTACGTGTCTATTATTATTATCGTAGTGATTAAATAGACTAACAATATGTTTTGATTTCTTATATTTTTTAAATTGATTTTTCTTTCGTAATCGAAGACGAAAGCAGAATTTCATCGATCATCCGTCTTGTCTATTCACTAACATATACATATATAGTTAAATAGCTTAGCGCGCGCTGCTTACGTATTATTATTATTCCCGCTGCTTTATTCTCTTCGTTTTACTTTGAACATGAACATATCTTTTTTTTCTTCTTCTATTCACATCATCATCATCATCATCATCAGTTGTTTATTTCCTCGAGAGAAGCTTTACTTTAGGATCAATGAAAAGAAGAAAAAGAAGATGAAAAAAACTCTAAAGGCCATTAATAAGATATACACTTGTAAAAAGGTCGATTGAAGAAAAGAATCTTTCTTTTTTGTCAATCTTTCAGAAATGAATAATAACGATCTTCGAACTGAAGAATCTCTTCAACCTGTTAAATATTTAGGTAAAGTCCATTCATTATATTCTCAAGGAATAAATGTAGCAACTGTAAGTATTTCTTTAATTTTTATATTACTTAGATATTTTATTTTTTCGCCAAGGAATCTGTACGTACTGTATGGAAACGTTCAAAAAAAGGTTCCTATTATAATCGTTGTGCTATGTCAATACATCCATTTGGTTTATGTATATATGAAGAAATAGCTAATGGAACATACAAAAGTGTTTGGTTTGATCCTATTGAAAATATTTCATATTGTGTTGCTGAACCATTACATCGTCGAATATTTGCATGGATTGCTCGATCACAACAAACCAATGAACTTGAATGTCATATTGTACTTTGTAAAACAAGTAAACAATCATATTTACTTGCTGAATTATTAGCAAAAATATTTTATCAATCATATCATCATTACCGACAACAACGTCTAACACAATTAACACCAAATTTATCAACACGTTGTTCTGTATGTGATACTATCACTCGACAACAACAACAACAACAACAAATGAATAAGAATTTATCATTATTTCGAAATCATTCTCATGATATAGACGACAAAGAAAAAAATAATGATGATTATGAAAATATTTCATTTCAAGTACCTATGATTGCAAGAGTTTTTGTACCAAATTATGAAAATAATTCTATGAATAACAGTAGCAATCGAAGTATTGATTATGATGTAACATACATTGATGAAGATTTAATTAAACCAGTTGAATATTATCAAAGATCAATCGTTTAAAAAGAAAGAAAAAACGAAATCTATGACTGTCTGTTTACCTATGTATTATAATCAAGGCTAACATTGAACAAAGATAATAACATACTACTAAGCTCAAATGACATTTTTTTTTGTTTGATTTTTTTTATTGTTCTTATACTTGAAATAAATATATGTCAGACCATCTGTATAGTATAGATACTTACATAAGCTCAATTGATATTTGTAATAAAGAAATTTAAACTAGTTTTATTCAAGGACAATCAAGTATACTCGTTAATTCTGTAATAACAGTGTTAAGCCTATTTTAAAGTAAGATTTTCGTTGAATTGACACGCATGCGCGAAGAATTCTGTACTTATGAAAGAAAAAAAAGCTTAGTTTTTATTCATAATATTTTTTCTTGTCTTCTAAATATTAAAAAAAAACAAATAAATTTAACTACAAAAAAAATTGATCATTGTTTTATCTTAAGCTTGATGTCGATGTTTTGGTAATGGAACAGATGTTCGTACAATTTGATTTGAGAAAACAAATACTTTTAATCGATTAAATATCATCATAAATGGTATAAGTACACAAATGTATTGTATCCAACCCCATTTAAATGCTTGCCAAAATCCAGGTCTATATCGAATTGCTTGTCTTCCGACATTAACAATAATATTAACTGTTAATTTAGTTGTATCGACTGTTGTTGTTCGAGGTGCCATCGATATATATTGTGTTTGATATGATGTATAATAATTTCGTACAAAATAATTATCAAGAATCAAATTAAGATCAGGTGATAATGATGAACTTGTTGTATCAATTATTGGTGTATTATATGTTGCATCACTACCTGAATTTTGTATTGGTTTTCTTTGTTCGAATGTTAAGTCACCATATATAGTTATATTTTGATTACTACCTGGTGTAAGTGTTGCAGGTGAAACAAAACTAATAAGTGCCATTGTTTCCATATTAATATATTGTTTTCGACTTAATTGAAATTGAAATAATAACCAAATATTCAAACTAGAAATTTGCGTAGTACTATCAGCGAATGTTAAATCAAATGTAGTTTGAAATTGATCAATTAAACCATCACCATCTGTATCAAATGGCATTTTATTTTCAGCAGTAGAAACAAGGCTGTTTTGAAAATTTTCATTTAATGTTGAATATGATGATGCAAAAAATTGATTATTTGCATTATTTAATGTTTGAAGAATATAATTTGTTTGATCAACAACGGGTTGTTCACTATAAATTAATTCTTGTAACCAAAAATCACCTGTATAATAAGTTAATAGAAATGGTGGTAAGAAAGTTAATGTTGTACATAGAATTAAAACAAATGTTGCATTTGATAATATCTGTGTACGATGTGTAAATCTATCTGCATGTGAAAATAATTCATAGAAATACATTTTCAATTTTCTTATTAAACTAATGTAGAAAAAAAAAATTTCAATAAACGCCATAAGAATTCTTTATTGCCTAGGAAAAACCTCTATGAATTCATTAGTGAAATATGATTGGCTGTTATTTGACAGATAAAGAATAAAAAATGGATTCAAGAAAAAAGTAGGAGGAGAGAGAAAGAAAAAATAATAATGATGTCATCTGATTATAATATTTCGATGGAAGAAAAGAAAGTATCATGGGTTTTACAGATATTTCTTCTCTAAATAAATACATTCCTATTATCTAGTTCGACGTTGTTTTTTTATATTTCGTATAAATTAGTTTGATCTTTAGATCACAAGAGTAATGTTCTATGAATAAGTGAGTGGGTTAAAACATCTGTTAAAAATCTATGCATTATGTGTAAATAGCCAAGGAAGTATGTTTTTGATTTTTGTAAAAATGATGAGTGATATTTTCACCTGCTATGTCAGGATGAACTTTGATTCACTTTCGTTTATTGATTAAAAAAAAATATTTTATGGTATGTCATGGGCAGGCAATAAAAAAACAATCATCGGGACGATATAAGAGAAAGATAAATATGTTTCTGTTTTTCACATATTCGTGTTATAGAGAGAAATGAAGGATAGTATATATATATATATATATACGTAACAGCGATCATTATTCATGTGTCTTTTTTTTTCATTTCTGTACTTGTTGACATATATGTTATATTTGAGGTTTAGAACAAAAATAAGTGATGAATACCTGAAGCAATAATTTTGTTTTTTTCACAAAAGAAATTGTTTCTCTCCAAAAACAAAAAAAAATCCAAATTGATGTTATTTTTTTTTACTTAGTGACGTATATAATCTTACACAATCATATTTCTCTCGTTTTCTTTTTCTGTTTCTTTCCAAGAAAAATAAAGAGCGTCATTGTATATAAAAACCATTAAAAAATACTCACTAAATGCCAGCTGTTAGTTCGTTCTCTGTATGTTTTCGTATTTGTTTTTTATCATTGTAGACATATATATTCTCTTGTTTGTCTATGACTTTATACTTAATCCTGCAAAGTGTTAAAAGTTTTATTCATTTCAATGGTCCGAATGAACGATTGTGAATATAATCCATCATCATTTATACAACTATCGCCATTTATTCATCAAGTAAATTAATATTTCTAATTAATTTTTTCGAATATTTTTCTTTTTAAAGGTTGGCGGTCATTCATCAATGTTTCAATATGATCAAAATACCGTTTGTAAATTACTTGCACCAGCTGAATATGATTTTTATCAATCAATACCTGATTCATTAAAAGCATTTACACCAGCATTTCGAGGTGAAATTATTTATTTTCAAAAATAAAAAACAAACCTTTATTTATTTATTATAGGTAGTATTACAGTTCAATATTATGAAGATGAATCAGGTTATATAAAACTTATTGCTTATCCTCAAACAAATTCATTAGAAAATACATCATCAATAAATGAACAAGATTCATTATTAAATAATGATCAACAATTATCGGATAATATTTTAAAAAAATCAGTCCAGTTCGTATAATATATTTTATTTTTATTTAAAAAAAATTTAATTTTTTTTCTCGTATAGATTACGTTGTTCAAAAGATGGACGAATTGATTATTCGAATAGTTTAAGTAGTGATATTGTTAATTATGAACCAGGAAAAACAATAATGTCTATTATCAATCCTTGGAGTTTACAATTATGTAAAAAACAAGCCGAAAAATTACATCGACAATTAATTGGCGATGAAAATGTCACTGTTTCACAGAGTAAGATATCATGTTGACATGTACCCATTAGTTTTTCTACGTCATTCATTATTATAACTGAACAAGCAGGAAAGATCAAAAAGAAAAAACTTCCAGTCCCGGTATTAAACATGAGATAATTACTGCAAATACCTGGCACGTTTTAGTTCTTTTTTTTTCTTTCAAAGACTTCTATAGTTTCCGATTTAATTGTGTATCGAAAGTAGAAAGGATTGAATTTCTATTGTAACGTAATATGATATTTAATCAAGGGTTTTAACAATTCTTATTAATAGGATTCATACAAATAGTGTAATAGAGATAAGATAAAATGACAAAAAAAAACAACCCTATCAAATATTAAGTAGAACGCTTTGTACTCAAAAATATCTCTCACATGTAAAAGAGTATAAATTAATAATTTCGACATATTTATTTGTTTAGAATATATATTATTAGAAAATGTTACTGCTCAATTTCATAATCCATGTATACTTGATTTAAAAATGGGTAAAAGACAATATGGTGATATTGATTCAGATAAAAAACGATTATCAAAAATAAAAAAATGTGAACAATCAACATCATCAAAATTAGGTGTACGTCTATGTGGAATGCAAGTTTATCAAGTTGATAGTGATCGATATAAATGTACAGATAAATATAAAGGACGAATATTAACTATTGATGAATTTCGTTCATCATTAGTTCAATATATTGATAATGGTCGTAATCAACGTCTTGATATTCTACCTGAAATAATCAAACGTCTTGAATCATTATATCAAACAATAAATTCATTATTAAAATATCGTTTTTATAGTGGAAGTCTTTTAATTGTTTATGATGGTTCACCACAATCAAATTTAATTGATATACGTATGATTGATTTTGCTAATACAATACTTGGTACATCAACTAATGATGAATCAGTAAATAATCATTTTGGTCCTGATAAAGGTTATTTATATGGACTTGAACAATTAATAGGAATTTTTCGTAAGATATTAGATGATGATGATGAAAGTACAATGGAATCGTCTGATTCGCATTAGTTATTTGTATTTATGTACAGAACGTCTTTTTTTATGATATATATTTAAACATCATCGATCCATTGACGAGAAAAGATATATTTCAATTATTTCTTTTTCGTATAATTGTTGACAGAAGGAAAACAAACTGAAAAAAAAATTTTTTTATTTTTTTTTTGTAAATATAGAAAGAAAAATACCGGTTCGTGTATTTTATGTGTTTGTCCTGTTTTTTTTTCTTTTCTCAGGTATTCTAACTACCTTTTTTTCGTGAATTTATTTTATGTAATGTATGTGTGTTCAAGTCTTTCTTGACCTGCTTTCTTTTTTTTTATTTTACTTATTGTAAATCAATAATCGAGAGAATGATATATGTATCTTTGTATTTAATTAATGTCTCATTTGTAGTGATTTTTTTTCTGACACTTTTTTTAGGTGACTAATATTGATTCCGTTTAAATAAAATCGGATCTTTGTAAAATAATTGATTAGATAAAAATTAATATTAATTGTTCAAATTGATAACTTAGAGAAGCAATAGAAAATAATAATGATCGTTAAATGTGCTCGGAGTTTTCACGAAAAACTCTACCTGAAAACTATAATTATCTGTTTTTGATTGCTCTAATAGCAGTGGCGGATCTAGAATTTTAGAAGCGGGGGGGGGGGGCGATTTTTTTTAGTATGAAGGGGCGATCACCCCTATCGCCCTCTCCCCTAAATCCGCCACTGTCTAATAGATACCCTGGACTATACTGAGTGGACTGGTGATGCTCAAGAAAAAAAGAGTTCATATTTACAAGCTACAATTTGTCGAAAAACTCGAAACACGTTAAATAGATCAATCGAATATATATATATTACCAAAAATAACAAACATAAATAGTTGATTTTATTTGATTGTTTAGTTCAATTTTCAGTTATTACTATTGATAAAAAAAAATAACAATAATAATTTTCTTTGTTAATCTCATGAGATAAAAATTTAGATACTTTCCCTAAAGAATTCTAAATATAATTTGAAAGATTGATAAATTTTTGTTTCTACAAATATTCGTTAATGATTTATTGTATTTTGTTCATTGAACATTACATTTAGTTAATCATTCGCACACGAAATAGATATGCATTATAGAAAAATGAACGAGAGAACAATGATGATGGAAAAGCAGTAGACTGAAAACTGAATAGTAATGAGTCTCGAGAGTATTGTGCAAGCACGAGACTAGTCAGAAAACAAAACAAAAAATCTTTGTTTCACTCATATCCATCAGTGAACACGAAATAGACATTTCTCTCTTTCTTATTCTTCTATTTTCTCGTCTTTTCAATTAGACAACAGAAATATTATTACTAGCATATGTCTATGTGATGTGATAAAAGACGTCTCAGTGATTATTTAACGATAATGTAAAAGTCAGAAGATACCGACGTAAGATGTATATAGTCTATAGAAAATAGCGGAAAATTGAAGAAAAAGAGATGCATCGTATAAGAATGAGATTAGTCGTGGCGGGTGGAGTATGTCGAGGGAATTCGGAAGTGTTGTTTGTTCCGCCCCTAGTCTCTTTATTATTTTCTTTTATGTTAGAACCATAGACTGACGTATGCTCACATCGCCAAAAAAACGATTTTATATATATATATATGTGCAAGAAAAAAAAGTGTCTTTTCGATGTGCATTAAATGCTTGCAGTTGTTGATGCTTGTTGTTTATTGCTCGATTTATTTGCTAATAAAATATATTGTGTATCTTCTCGTGTTTTTAAACAAATAGGAATTGGTTGATCATCATCAATAGTTCCACTCATCTGTAAATAAATATAAAGCAAAATAATAAATAGTTAAGAAAGAAAAAAAAAGAAGATTTTTTTTGTTTAAATACTTTTTTCATTTGAGTTTTTTGATATATTGATGGTGGTGTATGTCTATGAAAATGTCTTTTACTTGATGTTCGTGATGTTTGTGATTGATTATGTGCACTATCTTTATTTAAAATAGCAGCAGATAAACGTCGACCATCATTATACGTTCCTTTACGACTTGTTAAATAATCTCTTCGTATTAAACGACTAGTTTTTCGACATCCATATGTATGTAAAAGATGAAATAAATGTGTACGAAATTCAGTACCAGTTAAACAATAAACAAGAATATTACCAGTATGATTAGCATTCATTAAAATAATAAATAATAATTTTATCATTTTATGTTTTGCTTTAAGTTGTATATCACATTGATTGATTTCTTCTTTAAATGCTTGTTTTTCAAACATTAAATAGAAAACAATAGGTGCAGTTAATAAAACAAACATTGCATTTATTGATAATAACATTGTACTTAAATTTCTTGCGACTAAACGTTTATTTGAATTATGTGCATCACCCATTGTACGTACAACACTGACAAAAATAATAGTTGAACAAAGAAACATTAATGTAAATGGTAAATAAACATTAACAGTAGCATCAATATACACCCATTTATTACTATAAAATTTTTTATATACTTCACTATATTCAGATGAACATTGTACAACATTTATATCCATATCTGTGTCAACTATTCGATAAGTAGATGATGATGATGATGGAGATATCGATTCGTCGCTATTAAAGTCTTTCGATTGTTGTTTTTGTAAAGATAATCTATACGTATTATCATAATATAAAAATTGTACATTAAGCAAAAAAAGTATTAGAAAAATTAAGATTAATATTGTATAAGTTTGACGTGTTTTACGAGTTTTTCGTAGACCACGTGTTAAAGCAACTACACGATCAATTGAAACAGCTGTTAAAATCCATGCACTTGTTTGTGGAAAAAAATAAATTGAAAATGAATATATTTTACATGCCATTAATGATACTTGTTGTAAATCAATATTAAACCAAGCATGAAGTATAAAATTAACACAAAATGTATATAAAACAGCAAGATCAATAATGGATAAAAATGCCAAATAGATAAATGTTGAATGACGACGTAATTTCGAACGTAATACAACATAAACAGATAATAAATTACCTGCAGTACCAACAAGCATAAATAATATTGGATAGATACGAAGTAAAGTTAATGTTATTGTACGATAAGGTTCTCGTGTATCAGATGAACGCGTTATAGAATGATTACATCCAGTTGGTGTTGTATTCGACATGATCATAAGTCTATAATAATGAAGAAAGAAAGAGTGAATTGTGCCATTGTTCTTATATCCCAAATGATTTGTTACACTTGAATAATCTTTCAATCACTGAAATGTATATCAAAACACTTCATTTCGGAAGAGATAGATGGATTAATAAATATATATATGTTGATGTATGCGTATATGAAATTTTCCGTTCCTTTTTTTTTTTTTGGATTATTATTTTCATCAGAAAACAATGTAGCTAGACGATAGAGAGAGAGAAAGAATTATATGAAATAAGAATAGATACATGCTTTGAACAGAGCAAATAAAAAAAGAGATCCTCGTTTTTCTCTTTTACTACTACTACTACTCCCCCTATTCTATTTGGATTGCTCTTCGTCTAAAAATATAGCATAAAGAAGAAAAAATGAAGAAGAATATAAAAGAGACATACAGTGAAAAGGAAAGCGAGAGAGATAGAGAGCAAAAAAGAAACCTCGAAAAAGTCTTCAATATAGAATAGATACCATAAAGTAAGGTGCCGTATGGATGAGAAAAGAAACGTCTAATTGCATTTATGTAAGATCTTAGTAACAAAAAAAAAAGAAAACATCCGACAACAACATTCTTATCAATTTACAATCGACGATCATCATCATCTTCTATTTGTGACTGTCAGTCATATCTTGTTAAATTCATATAGAAAAACTAGTAAAATATCAATATAATACGTTCATTAAATGAGTTGTCTTCTAAACAAATGATTTCACACAATTGTACATACCATAGAACAAAATTATTTTTATATTTATTAACAAGTGAATGTCATTGATATGATTAACAGCAGGTGTTTTTTGTTAATTTACACCAGCAATCATTTCTTCTTTCGTTTGTTTGTTCGTTTCTTCTTCTTCTGTTGCGTCGTCTTCTTTTTTTCTTTTAGATTCCTAATAATCATGCAACACTCATCAGAATAATGGCATAAGCCTATTACAGAAATACCATAGACCGTCAACTCCTACTAAAGGGTATATTACCTTCTTGTTGGACGACGACCACAAGACATTGAAGAAAAAAAACATCTATCAAATATATATATATATATCTGTTATCTGTCAACGGTTCTGTCTATGTCTAATTTGATTTAGTCAAAACATTTTCCTAGGTGACAAGTCTTGAGTTGCTACTAATTCATGCTGTGTGTTGTTCTAATCGAACAGCAGTATTCTCATTTCATTATCCACTCTTTTGAAGTCGTCAAGCCGACTGTCAGTGGGTCGGTACTATATGAATATAGATGTGTCTGTTATTGGTGAAATACGCTTGAGAAATTTGAGCCAAATGAGTAATGAAAAAGAAAGTTTTATAATTGTTTCAAAACAATCTGATAGTACGAACCCTTGATGTACCACTACCTAACAGAATTTGTAAATATTAAATGATAGAACAACAACAAAAAAATTAGTTATGTTCAGATAAAAATTTCCTTTTTTTTTGTACTTCTATTGGAGACAAAAGGTCGTCTTGATTTGTTCGTTCTTTATATAACAAAAGTCTTACAATAAAATCAATCATGCAATAGAACGTCGATGTATGATGTGCGTGACTTATTAGTTGAATAATTTCTGATGTTTTTTTTTTAATTTTCATTTAAAAATTTATCATGAATATAAATATTTCATTGAACAATCGAAATTGAATACTATTCATTTCAAAAGTCATAAAATAAATAAGAAATATTTTCTATATTGCGTATAAATGAAATAGTATTGCCAATAATTATTTGTTTTTGCGCAAGGTCATATGTATTTAATAGAGCGCGAAAAAAGCTTTCGCATCGTCTGGAAAGAATTTATGTTGTGTGAATCTACGAACCATAAAACGATATGTATTATATAAAAGACTGTAAAAAAAACAGAATATTTACTCTTTCGAGTTCTATTATTACACTTGGGAAAATAACTTTTTTTTATGTTCTGTTTTTATGCTAAAGAAAAATCATTGACTCTTTTCGGATTTTTAGCTTTAAGAAAAATTTATTTATAACAAAATAATCTATATATGAATTATATTAAAATTTAACAGAAATTATAATTAACAAAAAAAAATGACCTAGATTAATTTTATTAATCATTTATTGTCTAGATATATTAATAACTGTTCTTAACTAAATTAAATTCTTATTTCATAATATCAAGATTACATACTTAGTTATAATGTCGAGTAAAGTATTAAATATAATTAGTATTCATTAGTTATGCAAGAAAATAATTCTATTATTATTACTGCATGTTAATATAGCATTTGATGACGTCAAAACACAACTACATTAAAGAATATTTAAAATAACATCAGTATTAAAAATGATTTTTATTCACGTAGAAAATATTTTTTTGATTATATTCGTATGTGGAAATAAAAATAACTTGAAGATATTCATATGAAACTATTTTTAGATTATCGTATTTTTACACATATAAAAATATAATAAAATGAGTATTTCTGGATTTTTTCTTTTTGTGATTTGTTAAATGCAAAATTTTTAGATACAAATGAACTTAATATAGAAAATAAATTAAAGAGCATACAAGAGTATTATAATTAGTTTATTATTGTATGCATCATATAATTGTTTGATCTATAAGTTGAAAGAGTATGAATAAATATTACATATGCTTGAAAACATTCAGATGTCCCAGTAGTATTAAACATGATTTTTAGATCAGAAAGTTATAATTAGAACATTTTTTTTCGGGTTATTTCGGAAAAAATTCTTGATTGTAGTTACATGAGTCATTTTTCTTATGGGAATAAATTTTGTTTGAATATTGTTTCGGATATAGTTCTAAGACAATTTCCATACTTATATAATTGAGTTCAATATAAAAGCATCTTCTAGTACTCCTCGTTCAACTTATCCTACTGAGATATATTTTTTTTTTGAATATTCGATAAGTTATATAAGCATGTGCAAGTCCTTATAAGATCGAATATGAATAGAATTATAAGAAAAAAAAAGAAATAATTTAATATTAATAATAATTTTGATACTATAAGTGATAGTAAGTGTAATCAAGTGACGATCTTAAAATTGACGATTGATATCAATCGAATAATGAAATCATCGATAAAATGTAATATATCAAAAATTTTGTATCAAATGGAAAATATCATAGTACAAAAAATCGAAAGAAATTCATAAGAAAATGAAAATTTGACGGCCCTATTGTGTATTTATTATTTTAAATTAAACAGTCGTTAGTCGATAACTACTCATACTATTTACTATTGAGTATCTGTTAAACCTAGACTCTATTATAATCTGAATAATTATGATGAATTAAAAATTGTATTTCTATTAAAATTCTCAGAAAATAAAAGAATTAAATGATTGACTATTTTCAGCAAGTAGTTTTTTTCTTAGTGCATCTTCTTATAATTTTTTTTTGCAAATTGTAGAACTTTTCACGTTGCATCTTTTGCAGTACTTCTTTCTTTTGTAATAGAATATCTTCGATGATAGCAAGATAAAATAAGAACAGACAAATTTATCTTGCACCAAAAATAATGGTATATTTTTGCATGATCGAAATTTGATCGCTCAAAGTTTTGTTCATTTATAAAGAGAAAAAGTGCAACTATAAAATAATGTAAGTTGTAGAGCTCTTCACGATGTATCATTTGGTATGTTTCGGTTTTTCTATAAGACGATAGGAAGGAAAACGCGATCATTCATTACATAGTTTGGATAATAGAGAAGAAATTTCGAAAATACTAACAGTGCCATTCTTTATGTAACATCCATTTCATTTTTTTTCTTTTATCGAAACGAAAGGTCATATGTTTATCATATCTATGAATAATCGAATTCTTAATTAACAGAATCAATGAAATAAGTTGATTATAATGAAAAGAACTCGATGGCATATTAACAAACGTAATTATATAAAATACAGACGACATTTTAATATTATGATCGCTAAAAATAGTTTATGTGAATGTCAATCATATTCAAGAAATGAAAATAAATAATTTGACTAGTATTTGTTCATCATCAAAAATATATATTCAATTAGAAATACAACGTATTTGATTTTTTTTGTTATAAATTCGCATCCTACTCATATTAACGATCTACATGTATATACACACATTGTTTACATAATTATAATACAAATATAATTACTTTTTGTTTATTTAAAATAATAGAAGAGAAAATATCGAGATCGAACCGATGCCTTTTATCTTCTAATCTTCCGGATGACGTTTAGTTCGTTTGCACAAAACATTGCAAAAATACGATTTCGATTATACACTCTGTATTTTTTTCATATTTCGAGATAATTAAAACGAAAAGAAAAGCAAAAGTTAGACTCCATTGTGTTCTAATAAATGTCTTCAAGCTGGACGTACAGTTGATGATAGATAATGAATCATCAGCATTCTTTCAATATATGTTAGTTTAAATTCTTGGTTTAGACAATACATAGATTTGACTCTATTCTGGGATAATCGTGAATGTTGAGAAACCTATGAAAACCTTAAAATCCTTATTTCGACATCGAACGTCACATCGCATTACATGATCGAGTCAAATTCGAATACCATCTAGTTTAAATTAATAGAAACAACTCTGACACTTATTATCCCAACATACGATCTCATCATTAGTATAGTATAGTATGAAATTAATTTTTCAATTAGATATTTACATCAAGTATATTTATTTGTTGTTTAGAGAGAGAAAAAAGATTTTTTATAAGGAAACATCTGTTCATACAAAATAAAACCTTTTATAATAAATTTTCCTTAACATACTACGTAGTGAATCAACATAATATAGTTTTTTGCTACGACTTGCAAATATTTAATAAACCAATAGTTGTATTTCAAGCCATCTGTCTTATTAATTTTATATGAATAACAGTGTGTATTTATAAAAAAAAAGTGAACATTCATATTGCTCATATCAGGTTCTAAGTATCTGATCATGCATCATTGAAAATAATATATACATAGGTGAACATATGTTGCAAATGATTTGTGAACTATGTAAATTTGTAAACATGAATATGGTAGAATCAATAGTAACTTGCATTAGTTTATATTGAAGCAAGAAACCTGATTATTGAGGTGCATGCAATGAATTATTATTTACTCATGAATTCAATAAAATGTTATTTCATTAGACAAAAAAAAGTTATATAGTAAGTTTTTTTTAATCTGAAACCGATTTGATTTTTTATATATAATCGAATCTCTGATAATTCTTAATTACAATAAAATAAAATACGTTTCTCTAGAGATTTCTCTCAGATATTTATTAACTTTGTCATTCTTATAGATCTCATATGTCAGGAAAGAGAAAAAATGATGTTAAATCAACATATATCTCATGTTTCACTTTCAGATTTCGTTTGGATTTCTTCTTACTCGTTAAAAATGGGTATTAAGCAACGAAATCGAGATGTAAATCTTTTCAAATATTTAATACGCGTCTAGGGAGCCATTTTACTCGTTTAGTTTTAAGCTATAAAAGTTTTTGCTATACGATCATAATCTAATATGATGGCGAAACATGACATAAACCTAGTTGTCCAATTTACTGAAGAAAAAAAAAGGTAACAGAACTCAGGTGTATTCATATTTAACGATCGTGATCATATTTGCTATTTATCTTAGTAAGCTCTTATTTTCATTATTATTAATATATAGTATTATATATTAGAATTAAGCGATAGAATATTGTTCGCGATCATCAAGGTATATTTCATCTCATATAGAACTATTTACGAACTTGCAATAGCGCAATGATCATTAGAATGATAAAGTATTAAAACTCATATTCATGACATATATTCCATTTAATCAATGAATCTGGTAAAAATAAACTTGTTTTTATGTTCATTTCATCTTATAAAATATCATTTCCTGAAATATTTTTAAAAGGGAGTACGGATAAATATAGATACAAAATTAAGGATGTCAATTGGTAAAATATGTCTCTAAAAATCTTGTAAGTACGCCGCTCTATAAGTTTTTTTCTTAGGATTTTTAGTAATTAATCGTAATTTTCACAAAAAAATCCACGATGTATCACGAATGATGGTCGATTTTTTTCTGTAAGAAAGCATTTGTAATAAATTTGAAAATGCTGTTATTAGTCTCTATACTTTTAAGATCAAAATTCTTATTTATCTCTAGTCGTAAAAAAAGTATTGAAACTTCTTTGGTGTGTTACAACAGAGAGATATTGCACTGGCATTCTATTTTCTGATTAAGTTAGACAAAGAAACAAATAAATGGTACTTCTTCTGATCAGCAACATCCGCATTCTTTGATGTTTCTATTCTCACTCTGAGATGCCCTTCTCTCTGTGTTGTATTTCAGTCAAATAAGTAACAAAAAACACAAAAGAGAAAAATGAAAGAGAAGTAAAAGAAGCAGAGAATATGAACACAGAAAACCAGATACGATAAGAAATAATATACGAAAGCATTTGAACATATGACTGTAACAAGCTAGAATACATTTACCTTTATAATTTAGCTAATATACAATCTTCTTTATTTATTTTACTTTTATAAACATCGAAGATTTTACATATATGCTAGTTTTTCTTATCTAAAACAAAAAAAAATGAATATTTATAATAAGTAATATTTTAGAAAAGTATTCATTTTCCTCTTCATTTATACCATTTAATCAACTCAATAAATAGTGAGTATTATTTAATAGAATCTTGTTTCATTGTATTTAGATAATCTAATCTTTCGCATGAACAATAAGTATAAGTTTCTGGTAGAGTTGCCAAAAAGGAGATAAAACACAGGTTATTTAATTATTTATTGTGAGGTTCACTTTAAAAAGATGGTTTTTATTAGATGTCTCATATAGGCTCGCCGAAACTACTTCCTCACACAAAAGTCTTTTCCCTCTTCCTTTCTTTACTATCATACTTTACATAAAATTTATCGCCGAGTAGAGATATGATTTGAATGTTTCATTTAAGTATGATATAACGATCACAATACAATAAATCTCTCAGGTCATATCTCTACTCTGTAATAAATTTTATACAAAGTGTGACAGCACAAAAATATACAGGTAGGAAAGACTTTTGTCCCCGAATATATCTCATGTTTGGATCCATCTTTCTATAGAAATTGTTTTTCAAAAGAGTTTGAGTTTTTTAGCTGGTTTTTCCTATCAGTTTCATCGGAATTTTTTCGGTACAACAGGTGATTTCAATTGACCAGTTTACTGACCAGACTGATTTACCATTTTACAACCGACTCTCGGTGCTGATCCATATTATGTCGCAAAAAATGAGTATTCTTCGAAATAAGTCGAAATCTTCGAAAAAGTTTATTTTACAAAAAATATAGAAGTATCGTATAAATATACAGTATGCAATCAAACTTTATAAATCAGAACTTGTATTTTTTCAAAAATAAAATCCTGCTATGCGGCCAGACTTTCCGCGGTTAGATCTGATCTTCTGAAAAAAAACATCAGAGAGCTTCTAATACGTCAAACAAATAGTTCATCTTAGAGGAGGCTTCCATTGCGAAAAGCGGTTCAAGAAAAGAATTAAAATCAGGAGGTTTGGCAACCTTGAATATTTCTTAGATAATTTTATGATATCTCAAAGATTTCTGTATTGTTCTAAATTAATCCTCGCCTTATAAATCGAGATCGTATTTATTTTGTGATGCTTGCAAAAATAGTTCAACAATCTATTTATACATTCATCTCATATAAAGTGAATTTATCATTGCAGTCAATTTTGATAGATATATAAGCACAAAATCATATATATAATTGAATTTCATTCTAGCTACATTGAGTGTCATCAGTTAAACTTATCAAGAGAAGGTGAAAGTATTTATGTTCTTAGATTAGAATCTTTCGCTTTATTTAATTATCTAACTAGAACCAGTAGGAATACTAACAATATATGATATGCCAACTCTGTTTGTCAGGTCATAATATAATAAGTAGAATAATGATTTTGAAATTTTTTTATATGTTATAAATAATCTGAATAAGTTTATAGTCGATCAACTCATTCAGAATTAGTTAATGACGTCATTATTCCAATGAAACATGTAAATTACAATTCATCTTAGTAACATTTACCCACATTTTTCAAACGATATTATTCAAGAATACACTAGAAGTAAGTGCTCTGTTTATCAGATAACGATTATTCGTGAATCCTTTTTATTTCCAGTCAGTGAAAATAATTAAAAACTATTATGCAAAAGTTATTAAAACATAAGTATCATTTTAAGAAGTACAGTTTAGCAGTTAAATATTTATATAGATGATATCGAACTGCAAAAGAATATTTTAAAGATATCTATCAGTAAACGCTACAATACTTTCAGTTATAAAGCTCTGATCTATTTTTTTTAATAATATAATGATATTTTTCTTATTAGAATTACAAATCTAAAGTTCTCATATAATATAAAGAGTTATAAATACAAATTCAGTTTTTTTAAATAACATTAATTCATGCAATAGTATGACAATTAAAATGAGTTAATATGATTTTAGATTAATTTAAAATAATTGTTATTCCTTTAGGGGTATTGTCAAGTTGTCTTAAAGCTAGATTAGATAAACTTCTAATTCAAGAAAAAACTTTAATTTTAAGATAAACTTTTAATGAGTGTCGAAATCCATTCTAATGCGTGCCAGAAAAAGTTAATACTTTTTTTCTGCCTATATTTGCATTTCATCGTTGCATGCGTTGCGCATACAATTGCAAATAAATGAGTTGTTCGACACCGATGATTGTGGTGTTTCTTCTTAATTTCTCAAACGTTTGTCGTCGATATTTTCATCAGTTCACACTAATGGAAAGAAAAAAGTATACTTTTTATTTTTTCTTTCTTTCTTTATTTATAGATGCTTTTTGGCTTTTTTCAAATTTTTACTATTGACGAACACTGTGTAAGAGATGCGAAGGCAATTTTTATTATTACTACAACAATCTTCTTGTAATATTTAACAATATTATATTTATTTATGAATTTGCACCGATACTTTTCTTATATCATTTATATTTTGGCATTTATTGGTTTTCTATCGATATTTCAATATGTCTATCAAAAACGAACTGAATTCTTACCTATAGTCATTGACATAAGTAATCAAATATCGCCTAATAAATTACCGATTATAAAAAGTTTTTCAACAGAAAATCTTCTTTTAAAACATATTGAAAAATGTCCTGAATGTGTATTATTCTTATTTACAAATAAAACATCTATAAATGACAAGACAATCTTTAATATTTTTAATACTATTCCAAAAACTTCACACGCTATATTTTATCCTGGAACAATGAAACTTCATTATAATCAACCGATACCATATTATACAATTTTATCAAATAATCAAACTGAAATAACACTTTCTATTCGACATTCTTGGATTGAAATTATTGAATCATTAGATAATCTTAATAAAGATTCAATTCTTTATTTTATTCTTCAATCATTACGAAAACCAATTGAAACAATAAATTATTCATGGCCGAATAAAACAAAATTAATTCTTTATTATACAAAATTTTTTGGTGGGAATTATTGGTATAATAAAGATGCAAATAGTGTATATGCAAATGATTTGAATTTCAATCATTGTCCATTAGCAGTTAATGCTTGTCGTATTTCAATTGATCATAAATTTTTCAATGAAAGTGATGCATCACTTATACATCTACGTGAATCACTTAATTTAAAAAAATTAAATAATCTATCACGTAATCAAAATCAAAGATTTGTATTTTTTTTAAAAGAATCACCTGTACATTCACCAAATCTCGCGTCGAAAGACTATACTTATTTATTTAATTATACCCAAACATATCGACCTGATTCAGATATTACAGCAACGACGTTACAAGATTTTTTTTGGTTATTTAATTATAAAATCTATCCAAATTATGATCTTCAATCGATTTTAGAAACAAAAAAACCTAAGAAACTTCTCGTTGCTATTGTTTCGAATTGTGGTGGATCAAGTAATCGATTGAAATATATTAAAGAATTACAACAATATATATCCGTTGATGTATATGGTTCCTGTGGACAACGATGTCCGAAAGGTATCGATTGCCGGCAATATGCATATTCAACATATAAATTTTATTTATCATTTGAAAATAGTTTATGTGATGAATATGTAACAGAAAAATTCTTTTTTGCACTTCATAGTGCACGAATTATACCTGTTGTACTTGGTTATGCACGTTATGATCATTATATGCCATCATCAGGATATATTGATGTACGAAATTTTACATCACCACGTGAACTTGCAACATATTTAGATTATCTTGATAGAAATACAACAGCTTATTTGGAATATTTTCAATGGAGACAATATGCACTTCATATAAAATTACCAAAATATATGTGTGAACTTTGTTTAAAATTATTTGTTGATGATAAAGATCATAAACAACAATCATTGGAACATATTAATGATTATTGGAATAGAAAACAATGTCATCGTTATGATAAAAATCAAAATGGAATATGGACTATGAAATAATCTTTTTGTTATTTACAGATATTCTTTGTTTTTATTAAAATATTTTGTGATAGGATAAATCAAGAATAAAATATTAGTATATACGCTGAAGGTGCTATTCGATAGAATCTACGAAAAATGAGCTCGTTCAACATTGTTTATCAGAATAATTATCGATATTCACATTCATAACTATACGAGATAGTATAATGACAGATGAGAACGTCACTTTTCTATCTCGCACTAACGTTGAAATGAAAACTCTGAAATATGAACAAAACTAACTTTTAGATAACACAAAAAACATTTAAATTTGTATTGATTATCATCAATTGAAATTTTCTATATATCATAAAGCAAACTAAAATAGAAAATATTGATTTTAATTATTATATATCGTTATAATATATATTAAGTTTATCAAACGGTGAGAAAGTCATGCATCTTGAAATTTAGTTGAAAAGAAATTAGTAAATACGAAATCACTATTGAAAGTATATTAACTCTCGGTTGTCGTCCTCATCTTATAACTGCAATAGTACTCTGGGCCGCATGGATCCATCCCTATAAAAATCACAAAAAATTATGGTTTTGTTTTACGTCAGGTATTTATTTATATATTATAGTTTTCCAAATACTCTTCTCTCTAAAGACTTATTTGTCGCTTCTTATAGAGGCAATATGAGAACGCACGATGTGAAGAAAAAGAATTGACTCATATTAGTTTTTATCAAAAAATGTTGAAAATTTAACACTTTACAAAAAAATGAACGTGCAAACGAACCAGAACATATTTAATTTGAAATAAATCGGTACGCAACAGATGGCATTTATAAAAAAGCGAAAAATCATATATAAACCATCATTGATATCCTGGGATCCGCGTGGACCCATAGCTGTATTTTTTCTCTCCTAGATCAATTCATGATTTTTTATCAGGATATTGTACATCTACCAATTCCTAGAGATTACAGAAAGAAATGACTCGAAACAGTAAATAGTTGTGTAGTGCGGGACGAAAACTTATAAAGTGAATCCACGTGGACTCCACAACAGTAACTGAGGGTTCAAAATCGAAGAATACAAAAATATTTTCTTTGAGTTACTCGAAAGCATCGATTATCATATAGTTTATTCATCAATAATAATGAGTTTAAGAAAGATATAGTAGAAGCAAAAGTGCTAAAAACAAGTAATAGTAGAAGAGAAAAAAAAAGAAGAAGAAGAAGAAAACTAATCGTCATCAATTTTATATTAGCATATGATAATTTTATAACGACGGTCATATATTACCTTTTTTCTATTCTGTCATTTCTTGATTATGGATTCAAAAGTTATTTACAATAGTCCCGAAATCAAATTGAGGAGTAGCAATAAACAAACAATGGATATCAATGATAATAATTCCAAATTAATTCTTAATTTATGTGATGATATGGCACAAAAAATTAAAGATCAAGCATTTAATATTATTGAACATGTTATTACTGGTGTAAAATGACAAATATAAACTATTCTTAATTAATTCAATTCTTTTTTTTTTCTTCCCAAATATTCTTATCAATAAAAAGTAGAAAAATATCGTAAATGTTGTAAAAAAATATTTATATAAATACTAATAATAAGTTAAATAGAGTATGTTTAATGGTACTTGATGCATATAAACATGTTATTATTTCATGAAAGATGAAACCCATGAGAATTTACAATTCTTAGTCTCATTAACTCAGCCGTAGTAAGTGATATTTTTATTATGATACTTGAATGCTGAAATAACAAAAGAATTCGACAAAAAATTCTTTAGTCTATCATCAACAATGTAATTAGAATCATCAAAGACATCAGCATCCTTGATGTTTTGTTATTTTTATAGTTACCATCGTTATCGATATACATATAACATCAACATCAAAGAGATTTATTCTAATGAATTAACAAATATCTATAAAACTAAAAATTCTTAGATTTCATTTGTGATAATTTTTTTGATAGAAAGAAAAGACTATTAGTCTTTACGTCTGTGAAGGCAAGCGTCTGGCGAGCGTCTAAATGTTATTTATTCTTTACTTTATATATGTTTATCTATTCGCTTTGCACACATTGAATAAAAGATGAATGTATAAGTCAATAGAATTCAATAAATTTTTTCTTTAGTCGTGCTAAAAAAAGAAAATTCTTAAAGAATTGCATGATTTCTAAGATTTTGATCTGTTAATTCTATTATTCTTCAATTGAGAATAATTAATTGTCCAACCTTGAATTGAATAAATATAATCCTTAGAAAAATGAACATATATCAAGGTTAAGAGTTAAATAATCATCTTTATTTATCTTTTTTCTCTTTTTGGCATTGTAAATGTATTTGTTGATAACTATAATCAATAATCTATGATATTTCATCTCTTAATAGCACTATATCATTGTTAATACCATTTTGTTTTAGTTCATTGACAATTGTATAATCTATAATACTCTCTCGCTCTCTCTCTAACCATAAATAGATGATGTAATAGCTAATTATTATAATATCGTTATGTGATGATAGTATGATACCAAATAGAAGCTATGATCTCTTCTTAATTGACTTTGAAGTAAAGATATATGAGCATCAATATCAATACATTAGATCTTTTATTTGTTCATATCAATGTGGAAATTATTTTTGCTCGATGATCGTTTCAAGGTAATTGTAAAGATCTTAGGATTTATTATGAAACAGCATTATCTATTCAATTGTTATTATCGAATATATCTACTGTAGGTTAAAACTTCAACACAACTACATTGATTAAGGTATGAAGAGTGACCAGTAACTATCTTTTTCTTATCACTTACACTTATGATTGAGATCAACCGGTATATCAGCTTTTGTAATACAGTAATAATACGTAAAAATAAATATGAATCATGGTACCGCCTGCTAATAATGTCATATTTCTATAAATCTCATCGACAGATTCAACACATTGTTCGGACGTCTAAGTATCATTTTCTGTGAACAAAAGATATTAACGCCTGATGTGAATTATGTATTTTGATCAAAGAAATAGTAGATCTATTGTTATTATCCTACTTAGTGTCAATAATCGATCAACTCTTATTCATTTCATAAAGTTCTTTCAGCTGTTCCTTCCATTTAGTATCATTTGCTCTATATATTATCATCTAATTCATTTTCATTTTATTTAAATAATTATTAGACTCTTGTTTCCACCGATCTTCAACAAAGTTTAGTTCATTATTATAGCGCCCTCTATCGTAAATAAATGATAAAAATCTCTATTGAGGTTAACATAACATATTCTATTGGTTAATATTAAACCATTGATAAAAATCTTATATCGAACAAAGAACAAAGATGGTGGCTTAGTAAGGTTCATTCAATCACTGTTCCCTAAAGAGGAATCAAGTTTTAGTCGGAAATTTTTCTCTCATGTGTATATTCTACTCTTGAGTATCGTAACATATACACCTTATTTGTTCTTTTCTTTTTCTTTTTTTTTGATTGACACTTGGTGTATTGCTTTGCTCAACTATCTCTCATCTTCTTTTCATTCTCCATTTATTCAACTGCTATAAACATGCGTGATACATCTCAAGATATTTATGGATAGATCGATTAAGAGTATGAAACGTGAAAATGAATTATTAGATGCTGTTAAATCATCAAATATATCTTCAATTCAACGTATTTTATCAAAATGTCGCTCAGGCAAATCTAGTAAGTTCATATAAATCTTGTTATATATACAATAAAATTTTTTTTTCAAGATATCGTTTCTCCAAAAAAAATCAATGTTAATTTTCAAGATGATAATGGGTAAGTCGAAAGAAAAATAAACGAGAATTTCTATATTGAACAATTGTTATGACTACTGAGCTAGATCACACTTTATGATAGTTGTTTATTATACAAAACATTAGATAATCATCATTATCAGTCCAATCGTTTGTTTCTCATTTACACGCTCTATTGAATACATAGATGTTTTTCCTTTAAAAAAAAACAACAACAACAATAAATGTGTTATTTCATATTGAATTCTTCTTCTATATATATTTTTCATAAAAAAGATAATCGAGATAATCATTTTCATATTTTGATTACGATAGAAAAATTAATGTGTGAACAAGAGTGTGTATTTATTGGTATATCATTACGACGGTCAAAAGATTAACCGTTCAATACTACATATATATATATATATTCTTTGTTGTTATTGCTCGAAAGAGGAAGAGAGGGAGAAAAAAGAAAAGAGATGTTACCAGTAACATGAATAACCTCTGAGCAAAAAGGTCGCCGTTTATTGTACATGATTGGAAGGCATATAACTGCCGCCGTCTACTACTAATTCATCTGCATATTCAAATTTAAATTACTACGCATAAAATATAATAATCAATTTGAATTCACACTTTCCAATGAATGTTATATTCTTGTTTCTCTTCACATTCTTATCATCACTTGGATAATTAGTTCTTTTGAACATTCATTTCCGTGAAAGACCTTGTTAGGATAAGTCTGTCATCATATGAATAAAACTAGATAGATAAGGTCATAGTCGTCTCTTTTTTTTCTTCTATGTCGCGTGTAAAAATTCATTGTATGAATACTAATTTTCATTGATGATTGTTTTCGACATTGATCATCTGCTCATGCGTTTTTTTCATTCTTATGTGTTAAAATAAAGATAAGGATGAATATAAAACATATATATATATATATAGAAATGAAAAGTCAGCACGAGTCTTTCTTCTTTTTTATAATTGATCATGATAAATTAAAAGTCTATGTATTAATAGAAGTGAAGGCGTTAAATCAAAGAGAACATGCGTGACTTCCGAATGTCGATCTTTTTCTTTTTGATTTTGTTAACCGATTATTCTTACATCAAATCTAGTTTGCCTTGAATGAACTATTGTGCGATTCCCGAATGAGAGAAAAATAGAGAAGATTGTCAAAAAGGAAACGGAAGGAAGAGGTCAAGTGGCGACAAACGATGGTGGTGATGATGATCATGTCGTCTCAAGAGATATTTGTTGTACGAGATCATTAGATTGTTCACATTAGTTTTTTGTTTCATGCAACCATCTTGATATTTCTTCTAAATCAATATATATGTATATATGTATGTATAGAAGAAGAATTGATCCAATTGATCATTTGTTTCATTCGCTCATCATTCTATTTCTCCTATCAACATCGTTCTTCTTCTTTCTTCTTCTCTACACGCAATCTTCGCTGTTGTACTATGTAGTGTCAAAAGTTTACGTAATCTTGAGTGTATATACATGCGTACATCATCAGTATAGCTAAAAAACGATAGTTTGGTAATTACATCGTCTTTTCCTATCTATATAACAAACTAAAAAGAGAGAAACCCCACAACTGCTACTGTGTACATGACAATCAATTTGAACGTTTATTTTTACTATGGTCAATCTCTGTAATTACAACTCAAGGTTTTTTTATCTTTTAGAATGAGCTCGATCCACGAAGCAGCCGTGGCGGGTAATATTGAAATCCTTAAGCTGCTCATCGATAATGGTGCCAGTGTAAATTTAAAAGATAATAAAGGTCTTCGTCCATTACATTATGCAGCATGGCAAGGTCGTAGTGAACCTGTTTTTATTCTTTTACGTCGTGGTGCAAATGTAAATGAACAGTCAATAAATGGTGATACACCATTACATTTAGCAAGTCAATATGGTCATAATGAGATAGTACAATTACTTTTATTTCATCAAGCTGATTCAACGATAGTAAATCGTCGTTTAATAACTTCACTTGATTTAGCATGTGAAAATGGACGTTTTGATGTTGTTAATTCACTTGTACAAAATCCTTTATGTCAACGAATGATATTAAATACTACCGAACAAAATTGTTCATTACATTTAGCAGCAAAAAATGGACATACAGATATAGTTCGTTTGTTACTATTAAATGGAATGGATATTAATCGTATGACAATTAATAATGGAACCGCGTTACATATAGCTTGTCGAAATGGTCGTTATGAAACAGCTAAATTATTATTAGAATGTGGTATTGATATTAATCTTTGTAATTCATATGAACAAACAGCATATGAAGTTGTTATTAAACAAAAAAGTGGTAATGATATTAAACGATTAATAAAAGGTTTGAATGAAATTGATTTTAAAAAAAAATAAAATAAAATTTTATGAAATTTTTAGAATTTTCGGATGCAATATTAGTTCGTGCAATTCGTTCCTATACAGATAATCATGTTGGAGCATTGAATTTTTCCGAAGGAGATTGTATTACAGTAAGATATTTTTTCTTTTTGAAAATATAGAAAAACAGATTTATGTATGATTAGGTTTTGGAACGAAATCCAACTGGTCAATGGCGTGGTTTTATACTTCAAGAAGATTTAACTACTCGAAAGGGTTATTTTCCGAGTACCTATGTTCAAGCAAATACTACTAGTGAGATTTGTGATTGTTTTGAATGTAAAAAACAAAATATTAAAAAATCATATAAAGATAAATTAATACAGTATTAATATTTTGTTATGAAGTCATTGAAATAGATATATATATCTCTATAAATATGTAAATAATGAATTCTGAGTAGGATTCGTCACTGTCTTTATGATACTGTTACCAGCGACATATTGAAGTAGACCATGAATCTGACACTTATGATGAAGTATGATACTAACATCTCTATTATTTTCTCATTGACCTTAGATATTAATTTAAAATGTCAATAATCTTGATCAGTTTTAAAAGGCATCTTATTCCTTCGAGTATTCATTTAATAAGAAATTTCCTGATTCATAATTCTACTAGTTTTCTTTTCTCGTAATCGAATAAGACTTAATTTCTTTTACCATCTTATTTCTAATGTAATCAAAACTTGATTGAACATCAATATAGAATGTTAATAGTTATATTTTACTCTTCATAATCGATGATTACATTAGATTGTTTGATATTCCTAAGTATTATTACTGTATTAATGTCCGAAATAATCATTGTTTAATTTATCTTATTTTATGATTTTATAATATAATTTTTTTGTTATTGTTGCATGATTGCATGTCTGTATGTTTATTGTCAAGGTTTATCCACTTTTCGAAAATCTCATCTTTCGCCTGTCAATGTCAATAACAATGGTCGACTATTGACAGCTACAACGTCAATCATCAACAACAATGTTGTTCTAAGACATCATCGTCCTAGTTGTGTGTTTTCATAATTTATACTTCTATCAATCATACGATAAAGTTATATTTCTTTCTTCTTATATTCTAGTAATTAATGGTAAAGAAATGCGTCATACAACAAACGATGATATTCATCGAACACAAACACATAATGGTGATTTATCTCCTGTTGATAGCGATTCAATATCACGTGTATCACAAGCGGATTCAGGTTTAGTAACAACATCAAGTTGGAGTTCACGTTCAAGACGTGATAGTCCAACAAGTAATAGTTATCGTCATAGTGCAGCAAGTAGTATTGATAGTGGAAGAAGTTCAACAGCATTATATGATAGTCCAAAAGTAATTAATACAAATAAACAAAAAAGAGAAAATTCTAAATACATTTATTAATTTAGACATTAGCTTTATCGAGTTTTATGGGTGTATCAACAACAATTAGCCCATTATCATCAACGAATCATTCAACAATATGTGATGCTCGTTCTATATGTAGTAGTGAATCAAAATCATCTGATCAAGATAAAACAAGTTATCGAAGTTCAAATAGTAGTCTTGATCGTTTAGATGAATCAAATACATTGAATATAAGTACAAATATTAATACATTATTACGTAATGGTATCCCTGAAAATGAAATTGTCTTATCTTGGTTACGTGAATTTACATATGAAGATTATGCTGAAAATTTTTTATCTAATGGTTATGATATACAAACAATTGTTCGAATGACACCTGAAGTAAATTTTCGAAAAAACAAAAAAAAATAAAAAGTTTATTTTTTGTTAATTCATAGGATTTAACAGCTATTGGTATAACTCATCCATCACATCGACGAAAGATAAAGAATGAAATAGCACGTTTACATTTACCAGATGGTTTACCTGATTTTAAACCAGATACACTCTATGATTGGTTATGTTATCTACGTTTAAGTCAATATTTATCACTATTAAACGAACAAAATTATACACAACTATCAGATATTATGGATATTGCGTGGGATGATCTGGAAGATATCGGAATAACTCGTTTAGGTCATCAAAAACGTTTTATGCTTGGTGTCAAACGTTTAAAAGATATGAAGAAAGGCCTTTATCAAGTTAATCAAAATTCTCCATTACAATCTCCAACAGTTGTTTCATCACCGAATAATCATCGTTTACCACCACCTTCAACACCATCGAGACAATCAACAGGAATAAATAATGATCGTAGACCCGCTGTTCCAATACGTCAAACAAAATCTACCCTTGAACGTTGTAATTCTCTTGAAAATAATAGTATACAACCTACAACACAATTATCTATTAAAAAGTAAAAGAAAATTTTCTTGGCATTGCTTTATTTTCCCCTCTTTCTAGGCCTTCAATTCAAATGTCTCATCGTTCACCAACACGAGTAACATCAAATGGTGATTCATCTAATTATGCAACTCTTCGAAAACCTCCTATGTCACCAAAAACATCTATTCATAAATCAAAATTTTCATCGAATGTTAGTCCAGTAGGAACATCCTCATTTCGTTTACCACCACCATTATCATCAACAACAGCTAATCCAAATTCGTCTTCTTCTTCATCAAATAATGAATCTTTATCATCAATTCGAACACGTAGTTTAGAAAATATAAATTCAAATGAAAAAACAAATCTTCCATCAACATCTTTGCAATTAGATCCAAATTTGTCATCTACAAGCAATGGAAATTCTTCTCCATATATTCAACATTCAAATAAACGAACGAATCTACAATTATTAGGTGATGCTAATCTATCATCAAGTACAGAATCAACAAATGGTATTCCATTTGCAAATGAAAATGTTGGAACGATTAAACAACGTTCACCACATAATCAAAATAATAATAATTTATATAATACATCACTCGATACAATGAAACGTTCTTTACCTATACAATTTTTTGAACAATCAAATACACATCTATTGAAACCTTCATATCCAATGACTACAGCTATTTATGATAATAATGACAGATTTATTTCACCTAATAAACAATTACGAAAACCAACAAATTTATTACCAACACAAACTAATGGAAGTAATTCATTAACATTAACAGGTGATAAACGTTTACAATATATGGAAATTTTGAAAAAAGATAAACAGAATAAAGTAGTCAAGTAAGATATGACCAATATTTTGTCAAATTCTATTATTTAAATTTTATTTTCTTCCTTAAGAAATGATACAACGAATGTATTGTCTGATATTGATTCAATGCTCTCTGATCTCAATCGAGAACTTGATCAAATGCTTGATTATGAACCAACGCCTTCAATTCGACCTTAACAAAACATTTTGTCAGATTGTTATTTTGAGCATACATATATATATATTCAGATAGATTAATATCAGATTAATGAAATTTCTTTTAAATTAATTGTCAATCTTCTTTTTTTCTTCTTGTGTGTGTGTATATTCTTACCATCTTGTATTCCTGCTTTATTTATTTGAATGAACTGAACACATTAATATATGTAAATGTGTGTGTGAAAATTAAGTCTCTCAGGGAATATGAGATACTATTTTTTTTTTGCTATACTTGAAGTCTGTTTACTTGTTCATTATCTTCTTCTACTTTTTCTTTTTTTTAGTGTGTGTAATAAATAAAATGAAAATGGATAGAAGAAAGAAAGAAAAAACGCATTCATGCAAATAGTTTATTATATTCTAATACTTAAACTTCATATTTCAGGTATATACGACCTCTGCGTTTTGCTCATTGGATGATTATATCAGAGCTTCTTTGTCTGATTCACACATATATATATATATATGTATACACGTCAGACCAAAAGTTCGATTTGAATGCCTAGATAAAATTGTTTATTTTAGATGACTTGAAAAAACAAAACTGTGTATTTATTAGGTTACCTTTTATTTGTCTTATAAAAATTTATTCATATTTTTAGAATAATAAGCAATATTAATCATGAATATAACGACGACAACAACACAATATATTTCTTCAACTGATTTGGAACAAATCGTAAATGTTAAATTCGATGCAACGTTTCTGCCTGTTGTGGCTACAAGTTTTATTTTATTTATCATTCTTTATAAATTTATCAACCCATTCTTATCAAATATTCTAATAGAAAATTATAAACATTTAACCATAGCACAAAAAATTGAATGGAGTACAAGGTATGTTTTTTTTTGTTTATTGATTATATGGGAAATAATTTTTTTTTCTTATAGAATTAATTCATCAATTAATTCATTTACTGTTGGTATTATTTGTGTATATATGATGATTGTTGATCGTGGACTTGATGAAAATCCTCTTGTGTAAGATCATCATTATTAATTTTATTTTTTATTTATTTATTTTTTTATAGATATAAAAGTTATTTATTAAAAACAAACTTATCTTTTGTTATTGGTTATTTATTAAGTGGTAAATCATATTTTAATATTTATCTTAATTTAATTAGTATAATTAAGGAAAAAGATGAAAGGAAGACTAACTCATTTATATCTAAATGAAATTATTACATAAGGAAAAAAATTTTCTTTGATGTTTATATGCATGAATAGCGTAAAAGAACAATGGATTTTTTTGAGAAAGATTATATTTAAAAAAAAATACTCGGATTTTAATTGTGTACTAAATGATATTTGAACTATATTTTAGACTCTGTAATTGTTATTATACATTACAAAAAAATTGGTGATTTATTTACTATGTCCCATCATCTTGTTTCTATGTATGCTTTTATCTATGTTTTAACACTTAATGTAATGCCATATTTTGCTAATTTTCGATTACTTGCTGAATTATCAACACCATTAGTAAATATCAGGTAAATTAATTAATTATTATTGTTTTTTTTTGTATCTTACCAAAATTTATTTTTAGATGGTTTCTTGATACATTAAAATTTCCTAAAACATCCAAAGCATTCGTACTTAATGGTGTTTTAATGACATTAATTTTCTTTTTTGTTCGTATTGTCGCAATGCCTATTTATTGGTGGAAAGTTTATACAGTTGCTATTACACCATTATGGTCTCATATGGGTCATTTTCGATATGTTCTTATTAATGTTTGTATTGTACTTGATATAATTAATTTATATTGGTTTTCAAAAATGGTTCAAGGTTGTTTACGAATTCTTAAACCTGTTCATCGAACAAAACATGGTTAATCTATCTAGTCGAACTTTATTTTCTCTTTTCTTTTCTTTTGTCTTCCGTATACACCGGTGCGGACACTCTATGTAATCCTGAATGATTATTATCATTAGTAGTACTTAAATTAATTTGTTCTTGCATAGGATTTAATTTACAAAAAAAAAAAAATGCAATTGTGAATGATATTTTCTTTTGACTTTCTCTATTAAAGATGATGCATCCATTTTTATGGTTTAATGAAAATAATGGCGGAACATATTTATTAACTGTAGTGACTATTTCATCAATAGTTTGTTTCGTTCTTGGTTTTATAACACAAAATCATTCACAAGTTGATAAATTATGGAGTCTTCTACCGCCCATCTATTGTCTTATTGTCGTTTTAAGTTCACCACTTCAACCTCGTCTACTTTTAATGAATGCACTTGCTTGGATGTGGGGTATTCGTTTATCATATAATTTTGCACGAAAAGATGGTTATACATGGTCAGGAGAAGATTATCGTTGGCCTATATTAAGAAAAAAAATTAATAATCGTTTTTTATTCGAATTATTTAATTTAACATTTATATCCATATTTCAAAATATTCTTTTATTATTTATTGCTTGTCCTATTTATTATATAGCATCGCATCGAACAGCACCATTAAATTCATGGGATCTCGTTTGTACGTTAGCTTTTCTATTCTTATTTACTATTGAAGTAACTGCTGATCAACAACAATGGAATTTTCATGGCGATAAAAAAGCAAATAAACCATGGACAAAAGATGGTTTTCTTCAACAAGGACTTTTTAAATATTCTCGACATCCAAATTTTTTCTCGGAAATATGTCTTTGGTGGGTTTTTTATGCATTCACATTTTCCGTTCAACCATTTTCATATATTAATTGGACAATATTAGGAACTTTATCATTAACATTATTAATAAATGGTTCAACAACATTTACAGAAGCAATTACATCGGAAAAATATCCTAAATATAAACAATATCAAAAAACAACATCACGACTTATACCATGGTTGCCTTCCAAGAAAGTTCACTAAATAGATTTACTTTTTTTTTATTTAATCAAGCCATCGTCTATGAAATATTCGAGATTTAATGTGATTTTTTCTATTATTTTATTCATGCTTTTTGTGTTTTTCTTCATCATTCAAATAAATGATTTTATGTGATAATGCTGCTTAATTATTTCAATAAAATTTTAATAATTTAATTTATCGATTAAATTTATCACTCTTCGTTAGTCAGATAAAGATATTTTTATAAAGCGCCATTCGTATTCCTTACTATAAAATATGAAACAATCTCATAATGATAATTTCATAACTACAAATCAAGATTATGGTTCTTTCTATTTTGGTCGAGTGCAACATGGTCAAATAAATCGAGATGAAATTACCTCTGAATTAGCAATAAATGATCAGGTTAGAAATGAACGTCGTCAATTACCATCAATTGCTTATAATATTATGTTTAATGTATGACATATAATTAATATCATTTCTTTTTAGCATCTTCATTTTTATTTAGAAACATGATTTATTTGAGTAAGCAAAGCACAAGACACTGTTATTTAATATAATTAATATTTCAGAATCGTCGCTCATAATAAGAAGAAATCTCAAGTAAGAATTGACGAAAAAAAACACATTATTTATTGTAGGAGGGTTTTTTCAGCCAGTGACTTCGCAACGTCAACTGAAATACATGAAATCAAGAAATAAAACAAATGAGGAACGAGAAATGATGATTAAAAATGCTGTAGAATCTTATATGTCATTTATTAAATGTATTTATGCGAATAAATCAGAGAAGAATGTATAATATGAATAGCACATAAAATAAATATAAAAATTAATGATAAATATTTAGCCACAATTATCAAATGGAATGCTAGGACTTATAGCCAACGAACTTTTTCTTTTAAATGTATTATAATATAATTAAAGTAACCTATTTAAATCTCTCTATATACTTTTTCTATAATCTAGCCGGAAATATCAGCTGATGAACTAGCAGAAAATATGATTGCTATTACAATTCCACATGAATATCTGTAAATTGAAATATTCCTATATAATATTTTAATCATCCATTAGAGGTATGTCTGTCATAAATCCTACTAAACCATATCCGGGAACAGAAACTGATTGCAACAAAACGCCTCATCTACAGCGTCTTCTCGATCATCTGGAAACTGTTAAAGTATATGACATAATTCATATTATTTAATTTTGCAGTTTTTATTTAGACAACAATCAATGATAGTAAACAACAATTTAATTCAGAATCCATCAATTCGCAACAATTGGAAGGCATTCGATACATTTATAATCCATTCACCAATAGTATACCATTTCGTCAAATATAACTTCATGGATTTTTGTTGACATGAGAATGAATTTAAGAAAAAAACAAGAACGCAAAAAAACAATACTTTTTCTTTCTTCCTATTTTTCAGTGAAAGTGTTGTTGAGAAGAAAAAAATGCAATCTATTTCTTTTTAAAAGATTGTCTCTCGTATAAAAGCAACATTTCTTTTTTCTGTCTGTGTGCACGTATACAACAAGATGAGGTAAGAATAAAATTGTTTTTTAAAACATAAAATAATCGCAATTTTTTTCTATAGTTGTGCTAAATGTGAACGACCATTTCGTCATGGTACAGACGATACAATAACAATTAATAAGAAAACATATCATTCGGATTGTTTATCATGTGATAAATGTTCAAAAGCTTATGATGGATCATTTTCACCGGATGACCTTGATAAAGAAGCACTTTGTCTAGAATGTACTCAATCAGAACGAACAAAAAAAACTCAAGAAAATAGTAATACTGAATCAAAAAATGCGTATGCACCTCTAATTACTAAAGAATTATATAAATTTATTATTTTTCTAGTGTATCGCAATGTGGTGGTTGTGGTCTACCATTTAATCCAGCATCTAAACATATAACAAAACGATATAATAATAAAGAATATCATCATAATTGTTTAAAATGTCAACAATGCGAAAAATTAATTGAAGGTGAAATATATGATGATGATAAAAATAATAAAATCTATTGTGGATCATGTTTTAAAAGTCATGATAAACAAGGTTTTCAAAAACAAACTCAACAAAAAGAACAGAATCAACAGAAATCAGTTCGTTTTGCTGAAAAACTTGCTGAAACATTAAATCGTGATGAATTAGCGGCATATTATAAAAATGAACAACGTGACAATGATGAGTCATTTCCTATGGAATATCCAAATAATCATCAAAGAATTCAATTGTAAATACAAATAATAAAAATCAAATCTTTTATTTTGATCTTTTTTCATATTTAGTTGTTCTGCATGTATGTTACCATTTCATCCTGGTAGTCGAGTAACTCAAGCACAAGATAAAGAATATCATTATGAATGTTTTTGTTGTGAAAAATGTCGTCAACCAATAAATGGAGTGTTTACAATGAATCCCGATGGATCAAAATTTAAAGTAACTGAATTTTAAAAGAAACAATAACAATTAATACATTTTTTTTGGTTTAGTGTGGAAGTTGTCTTCAAAAAAATTATTCATCATCTACAACACTTTGTACTGAATGTGATTTACCTATTGAAACAAGTCGTATTGATTTTAATGGTCGTTCATTTCATGTTGAATGTTTTACTTGTGCTTTATGCCATAGACGATTAAATCCATCTCAAACATTTTCATTACATAATGATCAACCATGGTGTCATCAATGTGAAACTGATACAAAATATTGTTATACTTGTGGAAAACCGATTTTATCATCGGGTATAAAGTGTGAAGGGCATGATTATCATAAAGAATGTTTTCCAGAATCAAGTTGTTTTTCTTGTGGAAAACCTATTACAACAGCGGGTATAACATATGAAGGACATGATTATCATACAAAATGTTTTAAATGTTCAAATTGTCATAAATTATTAGAAAATGAAAAAATACTTTGTGTAAATAATTCCAAACCATTATGTGTTGTTTGTAATGATGAATTATTTGCTAAGCGATGTACTAAATGTGGAAAAGCTATACCAGCTAATCAAAAAGTTACTTTATTCGATGACAAACCATTTCATGAACAATGTTTTCAATGTGTTAAATGTCATCGACCAATTGGTTCAAAGAAATTCTATAAAGATCAACGTGGATTAATTTGTTCGAATTGTGGATAATTATTTAGATTCAATCAATGATGAAAAAACTATATATCAGCAAACATTATATGCGATTTATTTTTTTTATTGATATTTAAAATCATTTTATCTTGAATAAAGTTTTCAAAAATTGAATAAAAGATTTTATTGTAGCAACGATCTATCAATAGTTCAGCATAAAATCTAAGATTAATGCTAATATTTGAAAAAAAATATTAATTACATGAATAATAAATGTTATGAGTAAACCTGAAAGTATTATTCAACATAGAAACTGTGACGTGTAAAAATCCAATGATGATTAATTCAAATCATAAAATATCATCAAGAGTATGTTAATCATTGTCTGATTCATGTATAATGTCAATAGTAATGAATGTTGAATTAACTACGTTTTTTATTCTTTTATAAACTTACTTCAAAGTAAATGTTGAAGACTACAATTATTTAACTCTGTTTTATTTGTGCTCTCGATGTTGATTCTAGCATCCTGCACCAACAAAAAGATCTCTCTGCTATTTCTTACGATTTATATTGATTATGTCTCACTGTGTCAACTATATCATAATCCATAATCAGCGTAAATTTACTTTTTAAATGTTACCTTTGAACTGATTATTACTCTTCTATAAACCATGTCATTTTCAGGATAACTGATATGTCAAGAGAGTCTTTCAGAATAATTAGTCAGAAGAAAAAGACCGTAAACAGAACCCCTACACTACGACGACATTCTTCACTCTAAATTCTGATTCAAAATAAAAACAGTCAGGCAATACATGTATTGAGATACGAATGTCTAATTTGCAATTTTGCGCTTTGTGTCAATGAGCGTGTGGATATTGTAATAATCATATATTCACACCCCGACCCACACCTTTAAGGACGCTTCTTCGAGATTCATAAGATTTATCTAAGAATATTTTTTAGAGGTTTTCAGGTTCATCTATAGATAATTGCTATTCATTTTTGAGTTAAACACCTTATATTATCTAATACTTGTAGATTCTGGAGAGATTAGTATGTGTTTAGTCTGATTTTTCAAGGGCTATTTTAGTATCTGATCTACAATCTTTGAAACTTTTGCTAACGATAATAACTCTATAGTTTTTATTACATTTTAGCACTACGTATATAAATTTTACAGAGTTATCGATGTTTAATTTTCTAAATATTCATTCTTTTATCGTGATTTTTGATTAAATACTTCATATGCCAGTTCATTGAGACTTAAGAAAATGAAGTATGACTCTGAATTTGTCAGTAATAAATGTACAACACCATATAATAAAAGGGAAATCTTGAAAAGAGGTGTGGGGGCGGGTGCGACTGTGTCTAAAATGTAATATCAATAAATTAGAAAAGTTCTGAAATAATGAAGAAACATGAATTAACGACGAATTAATCGTTGGCATCGTCTGAATGATTCTTGAAATGTCTTTCTGTACAATTTCGAAGGAAGGACAAAGACAATAAAGATAAGCATCGATGGAGTGGATGAAATGAAATAACCAAAAATAAATAATAGTCGATGGTTAGATGGATTGACACATTCAGATAACATTGACATAATCAAACGGGGTAAGGATAGAATTAGAAGAATGATCGGACTGATTAATAATTGTTTATGTTCACTGAGTTGAGTGTAGATATGTTCTCTTATAGTTCGTCTTCTCTGAGCTGTTGATCGTTGTCGGGCTGATCCGACTATGATGAATAAAGCAGAACAAAGGTTGACAATACATGGAGCAACAAGATGAAAAAATAAGATGATTGTATTGTATTGTTGAATAGAAGGAGAATAACGAGTTATACACCATCTTTCGATATCTGCTTTGTCCGTCTCTGTCGTTATCTCACTTAATTCTCGATGTATAGGTTCGTGAATGATTGAACCCATGATGCAGATTGGCAAGATAAGAATTATCCATCGAGCAATACGTTGACTTTTTTGTTTATTGAAGTTAGCTCCTCTGAAAACGAGAATCGCTCTTTCAATGGCTACACAAGCATTGAGCCAAGCATCCAAATATAGACAAAGCTTGAGAAGTGGTTCAATAGATATACAACCTCCTCGAACAACAGAAAAACGAATCGATAGATCCATTTGAGTGAGAACAACAAACCAAAACTTCACTGTAAACATGCTGATCGTAAGAAAAGAAGTAATTGATGATGCTAAGAGATAAATGCCACATCCAGCTTGTCGTAGATCTTTATTTTGAAATGTTATTAGAGACAAAACACTATTGATCAAACCTCCAACAAACATAATCATCGTTAGAGCGGCAGTGATTTTCACCAATATTGTTTGGTCAGTCAATGTCATTTTCGACCGAACTTCGTCACGTAAAATATCATCGAGAGTGATTCCAATACTTTTTTTGTAGAACAGACATTTTTGACCAATGAAACAACTGGTCTGAATTTGAGCTGAATAAAGAAATTCATAGTTGTCAAGAGATGAGATCAATCTTTCTCAACTTAACAAAGTCATGTTGGGTCAAGTTTATAAGCAGCAATAGTTTATGAAAGTCATTTGTCTATAAATGGCATGTCATGTCGTGAATAGATTCATATATTTCTATTTTCTGTTCAATATCTTTTTATGAATTTATTCATTTTTGTAGATATGTTTCTGCATATCAACTCGATAATTTCTCAGAGGCTGCAAGATAATAAAATCTCGGATAGTATGACATCACTAAAGAATAGATCTTCTCAAATATATTGCTGATGCGAAAAGAAAAGTTATATTAAATTTACCCAACTGATTGAACTCGTACAATCCATCTAATCATGATTAAGCTACAATACTGAAACTCAATCTTATCTGATTGGAAGATAGTTGCCTATTTTCAAAAGAAGGAGTTCCAGTTAGATTATATTTCTGGGCTATAATTCTATTGAATTATACGACCTATTCAAAATTCTAAAATGTTTCATGAATGAAGAATGAAAATCGACTTCAGTGGGATATTGTATTTCTCTGTTAATGATTTACAAAATAGTATAAAATACTTACTATAAGGATTAAGAGTGATATTATTCGGACCAGATGTGAAAATGGAAAACTTTCCTGTCATATTTGGAGACTCTGTTGTCACCACTAATATATACTTAGTGCCAGTGTGAAGATAAGTAATGAATTCGAAATCTAGATCACCACAGCGTTGATAGTTCTGTGAGAGTTCATTCTCGAAAGGATCCATTGGATTAAAATCATCTTCGTAAATATAGCCAAACGTATTTATACTGCTAGAACTGCTCAACATATAGTATCCACTTTCCACTACATGCATTCGTATAGTTTCATAGTAATAATTCGACTTTACACAATTTCGAGAATATGTTTGGCTTTTGGTAGTCACCTCTGATGAATACTTCGATATTACAGCTGACGAATATATTTCGATGCCTGATGGATAGCCTACGTAATGGAATAAAGAAAGCAGTGAAGATTTATAATAGATACTAGTAGACTGAGAAAAACAGAAACGGTGCATGTATAAGTAAGACTGAACATTACGAATCATCCCCCCGCCATCCTAAATATGAAAGAACAATATGATTTCAAGTTTACATGCTCAAATACTGTTCATATCACATTAGCGATCGATTGGAGCTGATCTGTATTCAAGGAGATTGATCTGATCTTATTCACAATAATGTTTTATTTGATACATTTAATGTAGCAGTTTGTGTAAAGCTTTCTTTTTATAATACAAATGTCATCTTACAAAACAAGTTTTTAACCCTTTCCGGCCGGATGTTGCCGAATGGCAACAATTTTGTCGTAGGGGGTATGGCATTTTTTTAAAAGTCGGCAGTGAAAAATTGATCCCTATAACTAAACAACAAAGAATATATACAAAGATAACTTTTTGCTTGTTATCTTCTGGTAGCCGGTCGTAAAGGGTTAATTGTGGATATCCCAAACTCAACTGAATACTCATAGTAACGTTGACAGATATTCATTTAATAGTTGTAGTGCAAATACTTACTAATTTTCTGGAGATCAACATTATTTGGACCGGACACAATGATCGAGAATGCACCTGTCACATCACTAGTACGTGTTGTCATAACCAATATATATGTGATACTAGTATTGAGAGCAATTGTGAATTTAAACTGATTTAGATTACATCTGTGATTATTCAACGAGATTCGATTTTCCTTTGGATTGGATGGATTGAAATATTCTTTGTAAAATGAGCCGTCTGTTCCCACATTGTTGCTGCTGAGGAAAGTGTAAAAACCACTTCTAAGAACATTCACTTGTATCGCTTCATAGTAAGAATTGAAGAATGAACATTCAAGTAAATACGTTGAACTGTTCGTTGTCAATTTTGATGCATACACTGTTTGAACAACTGACGAAGTATTCACTAACAAAAAAGAAAATCGATCTAGTTTTGTGTCATATGGAAATCAGTATAAATAATTTAAAATTTTATTTTCTCTCTTGTATGAACATATTGATGACAAACGAAAGTGATATGAATGTTTATATAAATGAAAATCACTATAATATCACTCTTAAGATGGTAGAGAACGCTTTGTTATATCCGGCGTGGGTTTAAGATAAATATAATATTTATACACACACTCATCCTCAACTATTCACATTGATATCAGCACCCACATCCATTATATTAAGTATCAGCTGTAATAAACCGGAATTCAAAACGGATTGTTCGGATTTTATTCATAATATTCTGTTATTTGATGAGGTTAATGTAGCTTTTTATGTAAAGCTTTCTTCTTATAGTGCAAATCTGGTCTTACAAGACAAATCTTTATTTATGGATAAGCTAAACTCAAAATAATATTCATATTAACGCTGACAGATATGCATTTAATAGTTGTAATCCATATACTTACTAATATTACTGAGATCAACATTGTCTGGACCAGATACAAAGATTGAAAATTCACCTGTTACCTTGTGGTCAGATACTGACACAGCCAATATATATGTATTACTAGTCTCAAGAGCAACTGTGAACATAAACTGATCTAGATCGCAACCCTGATCGTCGTATTTGGGTAGATTTTCCTTTGGATTGGATGGATTGAAATATTCTTTGTAAATAGAGCCATATGTATCCATATTGCTGCTGCTGAGGAAAGTGTAAAAACCGCTTCTACGAACAGTCACTTGTATCGCTTCATAGTAAGAACTGGAGAATGAACACTCAGGTAAATACGTTGAACTGTTCGTTGTTAGTTTTGATGTATAGAGTGTTCGAACAACTGATGAGGTATTCACTAACAAAAAAGAAAATCGATTTAGTTTTGTGTCATATGCAAATAAGTGTAAATAATTTGAAATTTTATTTTCTCTCTTGTATGAACATATTGATGACAAACGAAAGTGATATGAATGTTCATATAAATGAGAATCACTATAATATAAATCTCATCGTGTAAGGCAAATCTTTGTTTATAAGTATGCCAAATTTAACTAAATACTTATGTTAAATCTGACAGATAACCAGCCCATAGATGTAGTGCATATACTTACAAATATTCTTGAGATCAACATTGCCTGGACCAGATATCAAGATTGAGAATTCACCTGTTACCTTGGTGTCATAGGCTGTCACAACCAATATATATGTAATACTAGCCTCAAGAGCAGTTGTGAATATAAATTGATGTAGATCGCAACCATCATCGTCCCATGCGAGTTGCTTTTCAACTGGATTAAATGGATTGAAATAGTCTTTGTAAATAAAGCCATATGTGTCCATATTACTTGTGCTGAGAAAAGTGTAACGACCACTTCTACGAACGTTCACTTGTATCGCTTCATAGTAAGAATTTAACTTTAAACACTTAGGTAAATACGTTGAACTGTTCGTTGTCAATTCTGATGTATAGACTGTTTGAGCAATTGATGTAGTATTCACTAACAAAAAAGAAAATCGATTGAGTTTCGTATTATATAGAAATAAGTGCAAGTGATTTTGAAATTGTATTTTCTCTCTTAGACACATTTACCGAAAGCAACTGAAAGTGATATGAATCTCACGAGGAAGGGCCATCAACTTGAAAATCGCTTTTGAGCTGATATTTTTTCATAAGTGGATGCTAGTGTGTCTAGTAAAAGCCTAAAAGAATAGCGACTAATAGCGCTTTCTTTCCGAGTTATAATTGATTTACTGAAATTTTAACCTATATCTTGATATAAGGATGAAAATCAATTGGCCGCAGTTTGGCCTTAATTCTAGTCCATGGATAATACCAAATATAGATAGCATCTTCTGAAAATTTCAGTTCTATCGGACACTTCCTTCACGAGATAGTATATTTCCAAAAGTGCTCATATTTTATCAATTATATGAGAAAACTCTTTTTTTCTAAAAACCTATTATCTCGGAAAAGAAGTGTCCGATTGAACTGAAATTTTCAGAAGATGCTATCTACATTTGATACTATCCGTGGACAAGAATTCAGGCCAAACTGCGATCACTCGATTTTTATCTTTACATCAAGATATTGGCTAAAATTTCAGTAAATTAACTATAACTCGGAGAGAAAGCGCTATTAGCCGCTATCCTTTTAACTGTTACTAGACACACTAGTATCTACTTATGCACAAAATATCAGCTCAAAAGTAATTTTCAAGTTGGTGACCCTTCCTCATCAGTCTCTGTCGAATAGAAATATCTGTATATCATTTTATAGATTGAGTTAATCTATATTTTCTATCGATGATGAATAGTTAAAATTGAATATTTATTAAAATACTATAAGTACTCACAAATACGATTGAAACCGATATAGCTTGAACCAGATACTCGAATTGAAAAATTTACTGCTACATTTGGAGAGAATGTCGTCATAACGAGAATATAATTCGTGTTCACTCGAAGGAAAGCTCGGAATTGAAACTGACCGCGATTTTCATAGTCTTCATTAAAGCTGAGGACATTTTGGGATACAACGAACGGATTAAAGTTATTTTTGTAGATATAAGCGTACATGGTTTTTATCTCGCTGTTGATTAAAAAAGTATAACTGCCAGTAATGGTGACGTTCATTTGTATTGCTTCATAGTACGAATCTAACTCTGAGCAATGTTGGAAATAAGTTGAACTATTCAAGGTGAGTGTTAATGAATACACTGATTGTATAACTAATGAATTACCTATTGAATAAAAATAAATCAATGAATATTTGCATTTACAATAAAGAAAAGTATTCTTAGTTTGCTTTTCACTCTATTTACGAATGAGAGTTGAATCGTTTGTTTTAGATCAATACTTTTAATAGAGAATTAAAGAAAAACATGAAATAAAATCTCTATTTAGCGTCCCTACAATAAGTATCGATGTTATTCCTTGAAATCCGCATGTTCTTTCCAAAAGGCGTCGCTATAATTTCGGTAGAGAAATTTGATAAAATCTCGTATACAAAGATGAGGACTATTCTGGACTAAGAAAGTTTGATACGTCATAGACTTACAAATTTATGACTTTTTTATCATCATCTTTATCTTCAAACTCTTTTTCTTTTATAAATATAATGCAGAATATTAGTTTTTTTGTCAATATCACTAATCATAATATTAAACTATCTAATGAAACTATTTGATAAAGCTTTAGTCAATCTACGAGTTTGGCATGACATTACCAAGAAAATATCGGTTGAAAGTAACATTCAATTCATTGTTAAAATATTAGAAGAGCAACTCTTTAATTATTTCTAATTATAATAAAGCGTTTCTCGAATAACCAAGTAAGAATGAAACTTTTTCCTTCTTCTCGTTGTTCGCATTTTTCTGTGAAGACACTGACGTACGTTCAAATCTTACTACTTTTTGATAATCCTGATTCTATTCTCGTTCGTCAACTAAAATCATGATCGCAAATATAACATCATCGCTTTCTCATCTCGATAGTAAGGGTAATATTCTGAATCTGTGTGATTTCGCCAAGAGTTATGATTAACACTCGAGCATAGGGTCATTTCTCTCTGACGAATGTTTTATATCTATGAATTTGAAAGCATATTGAACAACTATGCAAAACAACGTTTTGCTGATTTTAAGGCAATTTGTGAAACTTTCTTTTGTTTTGAAATATGGAATCTGATGCGAGAAATTTTTCTTCACATCAATATTGGTTTCGAAGTGTTTTTAGTTCGATAAAAACTTGATGAAAATTTTACTTCTCATGTGTCTACATTTCATAAAACCATTGTGTTCATTATTTTCTATAATCAGCAGCGATGAGCGCAGATATTGATGAATCAAAGAAAATTTATAAAGAAAGTTCAATAGAAAGGGCCGAATTCATCTCTGACTTTACTACTAAATATACAGACATTCTAACTTCTGTTTGTACCATGCAACTAACATGACGATAATGTTATCGATTGACTTTAGTAGAGAATTATGAATAACCAAGATTTTTATTTTATAACAATAGTATATTAGGATGAAACTTGAAATTTGAATTTAACTATTCAATAGTTCAGTTTGAAATCCCTCAGTAGTTTTATCTTCATCTTCTATAGTAATTTTTCTTTTTAATTTTCTGAATAAATATTCATTGAAATGATATTAGAGACATTACACAATCGTTCTAAACTTACTACATGATTCTTCGAAATATTCAAATTTTTGAATTCGATGATTATTTTGGTCAGTAACATATATATTTCCAAAACGACCAAAACTTAAACTAAATGGATAATTCAATCGATTGGATTGCGAACCCTCTCCATTGCATCCAACTAAACATCGAAAACCATTCAAGTCTGAACCAACAATACGATGATTCATCTGATCCACAATATATAAATACTTCTCAGCATCTAGTATAATTCCAGTGGGATAGTTCAGTTCAGTTGTTTGACGCTGTGATCTACTTCCAGCCACTGTGATGCCATTTGATTGTCCAGGTTGAAATAACTGAACACGGTTATTCATGGAATCTGCCACATATAGATCCAAATTTACATCGACAAATATTCCAGAAGGATAATTAAGTTCATTCAAGGCTGATCCGTTAATACCTGTTCCAGCAGCAACGCGATTTGAATTCATCAAAGCATCATTTAATGATCTTTTCACTACTTGATGATAATCAGGCATTGAACAATAAAGAGTATCATTAATATCAACAAACAAACCATGACATGATGAATTGACATTCATCACTGTGACAAAGTTATTTGTTTCTGCTATCCATTTCTGCACTTGACCATTCTCAAATCCATCATCGATATAAATATCACCATTTGATGTCACGAAGAGAGAGTAAGGTTGTGTAAAATTACCATGAATGATCTTTGCTGGATTGACATGCTCTTCGTTCCACATTACAATTGTGTTGTCTTCTTGATTAGCAACATAGATTGTATTGTTTGTGTTCACAAAAATTGCGCGAGGATATTCACCAACAATCGAACGATTAGCAAAAGTAATTCCATTGTAATTCCAGATGGATGTTGTACAAAACTTTGGTTGATTGAATGAAAGAGCTTAAAATGAGAAGAGTAGAAAGAATATCAGAGAAGAATTGTAAAGGAGATTAAATTGTTATTTTCTATATTTGTAGAAGGAAAGGAAATTTTTTCAAGGAAGTTTCTTTTAGGGTGTGGGTGGGTGGGTATGAGTGACGAATAAATTCCATGATCACATACACACGCACACCCACTACACACACAAACCCAAGTGAAACACGAAGTCAGATCAGAGTATAATTCATATTAAAATGATATCGTCTAAGATATGAAAAGGTTTTAGTTCGATAAGAGCTGTTTCATTGATGAAATGTTCTTTGAAGCACATGAAACGAAACATCAAAGGTTTTCATAAAATTTCAAGGACAAAACTTTTTCTTTCTCTCTACTGTTCAGTCTAAACAGAAAAAGAAAGATTGGCTCTTTTTGTACGATTCACACACGACTTTGTCTAATTTGAACATTTGATTTCCTTAGACTCATTCTTTTATACATTGATTTAATTGTTCTTTCATTTTAAAACAAACACTTTACCAACCACTTTTGTTTTCATTTTTTCTATTGAAATATCTTCGTTTACTTCTATTACTTAACTAATCATATCTCTTCATTTCATTCAACTTTTCTTCAACTTACCAAAAGAATCTTTCATCAATAAAAATATTTGAATTCGGCCGTTATATGGATCAGTAACATATATATTTCCAGAATGATCAAAGCTCAAAGTAAATGGACCATTCAATTGATTGGATTGTGAACCCCTTCCATAACATCCAACTAAACATCGAAAACCATTCAAGCTTGAACCAATAATTCGATGATTGTCACTATCAACAATAAATAAGTACTTCTCAGCATCTAATATAATTCCAGTTGGGTAACGTAGTGTAATTGTTGGATTTAGTGATTTACTTCCAGCTACTGTGATGCCATTTGATTTTCCCAGATAAAACAATTGAACTCGATCATTTCCACAATCTGCCACATATAAATCCAAATTTACATCGACAAATATTCCAGCAGGATGATTAAGTTCATGCAAGGCTGATCCTTTAACACTTGTTCCAGCAGCAATACGATTTGAAGTCGTCATAGAATCATTCAACAATCTTTTCACTACTTGATGATCATCAGATATTGAACAGTAAAGAGTATCATTGATATCGACAAACAAACCAAAACATGATGAATAGACGTTCATTACCGTAACAAAGGCACTTGTTTCTACTATCCATTTCTGTACTCGACCATTCTTAGATCCATCATCAATATAAATATCACCATTTGATGTCACGAAGAGAGAGTAAGGCTGTGTAAAATTACCATGAATGATCTTTGTTGGGTTGACACTCTCTTCAGTCCACATTACAATTGTATTGCTTTCTCGATTAGCAACATAGATTGTGTTTTTTGTGCTCACAAAAATGGCGTAAGCATCCCAACCAACAATTGATTGATTAGCAAAAGTAATTCCATTGTAATTCCAGGTGGCTGTTGGATGAAACTTTGGTTGATTGAATGAAAGAGCTTAAAACGAGTGGAGAGAAGAATTGTGAGAAAATGGAATTGTTAATTTATGTTTTTCTTTCGAAAAAATCATTGAGATTAGTTTTAAAAGAATTTCTATGGTTGTTATTCTATTTTTTCTGATGGAATATGAATATAAACTGCGAAGGGAATGATTTTATCAAAGAAGATCAATGTCTTCTATCAAATTAAATCTGATACAGAGAAAAAGCATTGTTTGAAATCTGAATAAAATATCTTTGAAATTCAAGAAATTTTCTTATTAATATTAAAGAGATTCTGAATATGTTGAAGATTTGAAACAATAACTTCAAAACAGTTTAAAAATAAAATATTTCGTTCTAGAAGAGATTAGATCCATCATCTTTGAATATATATACAAAGAAATTTCATGGAATTCCTTTCAAGTTCTGCAATCTATGATTTGCCTTTCTTCTTTTTAATGTTAGTTTTAATGAATAATGTCGTTTGTACAATGATTGCTATTCAATATATGATAAATAAAAGTATTTACCTGTTGTTTCATTATTAAGAATAAGAAGAAGAATAATGATAAATACGTAGCTATTCCACATCATTCAACGAGATTCTTTTTTGATAAAATAGTCAACTGATGAGATAATCTATATTATCTTTGTTTTAGATGAAAACAAAATGATAGTCAGTATAGATTTTCTCTCTAGTTATATATCTCTCTTTTTCTCTAATTTATTTCTTCCAGAACAACAAAGAGAAAAATAGTGTTTTAGGGAAGGTTTAATCGTCGATAAGGCAAAGAAATAATTTCAGATTGACTATAGAATAAAATATATCTTTTATGTGATATTTTTTATTGAATTTCATTTTCTTCAAATAAACAAAATAGAATTTAATTTCGAAATGATCGTTTTCTTTTTTTTTAATTTTATGGAAAATCAAAGATTTTAGTGAAGAAGAACGTGATAAAGAGAAAAGAGAATTGATCATAATCTACATAAATCATCGAACGTGTTTTAACTGAAAATAAGATATCAACTATCATCGTCAATAAATGATTGACGTCAATGAATAAGTCATGATTAGTTTAATGTTTTCTTGTTATTTGAGTCTGCTAAATAATCTGCTTTGTCAGGACTCATTTTAAATCACGTTCGTTATTTCTCTACGCAATAAGTAACTATGAGAAAAGATTTCTTCTTTGAACATTTCGATATATTTTTAAATAAGAACTTGTTAGACACATATAAAGTGAAAATATCCATTGCGACACAGTAGATTCTTCTAAGAGAAAGCATAAAACTGCCCGAATTCAACTCTAAACTGAACATCTGCAAGGACAACACTTAGATAATCGACGAATCTTATCAATTTGAAGCACCAGTTCTATTCAAACATAATTATAGTCACGATACGCAAATCGATAATCTAATATTCTTTACAACCTGACAGGGAAGAGTTTTCAAGTACGATGAACATCTCTGATTCAGATTGATCTTGAGGGTGTAGGTGTGAGGATGAATTTAAGTATTTTCTGTTTACACTCACACTTCGAAGGAAACTAGAACGAGATACTCTGAAGTTTCTATAGTATAGAATTAAAAAAATTAGAAATAAATTTTTACTATAATGAAAATTGATAAAACATGGATTATAGCCTCTTGTTAGGCTCACAGCGCTTTTGATTTACTTCGCATGACCTGTGGCGATCTATATTTTTGTGTTTACCATATCGTACTGAATTTTTGAAAAAATTTAAATTTCGGAAAACTTTTATAATGTCCAGTTTCTTTTGTACCACTCCGAAATCACATATGAATAAAAGTATATAGAATAAACTAATTAGTTTTTGATATTGTATAATTTTCCTAAGAGAGAACTAAATTTTATTCAGCTTATTATCAAAAATACGTACAAAAAGTAAAGAAAAAAAAACATGAAAAAGAAGTTCTTTTTTTTTATACAGTAAAATATATAATATTAATTTGTTTAAATAGATTACAGTTTATAATTTTATCTCATCATTCATTCATTAATTAAACACAAGATATAAATAATATCTGAATACTTCTTTTTATTCCGAAGTAACACGTGTTGTTCGTCGATTTGTTGTTGATATCGTTACTTCTTCATTAATCATTGTACCTGCTAGTCGAGTAGAATATCGTGTTTGATAACGAGTTTTAGTTGGATTTTCAACTGGTTGTGGTGGTACAACTAATAATTTAATAAAAAAAATAAAGTAAAATTTTTTCTTTTATTAATTATTTACCATTTTGATTATCTTGAAGTAATCGAATCGTTGTTCGACGATTTGTTCGACGTTTATTACTATTTTCAATACTTCCTGTCGGTACAGGTGGAGGTAATTGTGTAACAACTGGACTTTTAAATGTTCGACTTCTATTAGAAGATGTCGATGTTGATAATACTTCATCAATTGATCTTTTCTCTGTTTTCCTTACTGTACTTGGTTGTTCTTCATTTTCACTACATAATAAAAGAATCATTATTTTAAATTTTTTTATAAAAAATACAGAATATCTTACGATTCTTCAGATTGTATAGGAGATAATTTTGAAGTATCATTTGTAATAAGAATTGTTGGGCGAACATAATCTGATTTCTCAGCATCGAATGTATTATTATTTAATAAAAATGTTTTTCCTAAACACTTTCGTTCAAGATTATTATCTAAAAATATCAGAATATTTAATCAAGAGCAAAAAATAGATATTTTCATTGTACATACGAATTTTAATTGGTTCACAAAAACTAACTTTTTCTTGTTTAATTTTAACTTTTTCTTCTAAAGATTTATTAGGCAAAGAAATTTTTTCATGTCGTGATGGATGATCACGAATGCGAATTGATTGATCAGCAGTTAATAATAATGGACGATTTGTTTCTTTATTATCAAGTAGAAGACTTTCTTCCATAACTGTATTATCTCCACTATCTGTTTCTTCTTCTTCGTCTTCTTCTGATGAAAATGGTTTTAATGATGTTTTAACAAATGTTTTATCCGAAATATTTGAAGCTATTGATCTATTATGTTTATTTTTATCTTCATCATGATTTATTGTTGTTATAAATGGTAAAAGTGAAACAGATAAATCAGGATTAATCATATCTGTCTCCATTTCTGTTTCTTTTTCAATAGCAGATACATCACGTAATGTCATATGATTTACTGTTTCTTTTTGAGGAGATTGAATTTCTTCTTCCATTAATGTTTGTTCATGAATTGTAGTAGACATATTCAATTGAGAAGGAGCAATTAATGATGTATCTTGAGATAATTTTGAAGCACGTAAACGAGCTTCTATAAAAATGATATATGATACAATCACAAGTAAGAATAGGTAATTAGTAACCGAAATGCTACTGATATTCTTTTTACCCCAAAAGTATTGTTTATTAATTAACTTACTTTTTAATGTTTGAGTAATTAATGGTGTTAAAGTTCGTGCTTGCTAAATTATAATATGAAAATTAATAGATGGAAATATATTGAATAAAATAGATTTTACCAATAAAATAGATACATCATTTTTATTTTCTTCTTTCTCTTCATCTTGTTCTACTTCTTCTTCTTCATCTTCTTCCATAATTCGACTAAATTCTGGACTTTGTTTAACAGTTCGAGGTAAACCATTTCCACCACCATACGAACGTAAATCGCCCGGTACAACTAATTTTCTACAGAAAAAAAATTAATCATAAAATTTCTATATTTATATTTACTGTTGTAACATAGCATGAATTTCTTTCCAATGATCAGCTTCTTCTTGTATACCATCCGATATAATTCGACATTGTTCATGAACAAATGTACGTAAATTTTCCATACGCTAATAAAAAAAAGTGATTTTTTTTCAAATATTTAAATCTAACATACTGTTTGAAAATAGGCTTCAAGTGATTGTGTTGCTAATTCACTCATATTATCAAGTATTTGTAATTTTTCATCATATTTTTGTAAATCATTATTACATCGATTTATTTCATGAAGAATTTCATTATTTTGATTTATAAGAGTTTTTAATTCTACATTTAATTGAGCTAAAAGAAAATGAATATTTCTTGTAGAATTATTATTCTCGTATAAGAAGACTTACTATTTGCTGCTCGATAAAGACATCGTCGAGCAGCATAACGTATTGCTTTTGAATCAATAAAATATTTTTCATTCCAAACAATTGTTAAAATATAAACTGATTTATTCCCGAACATGTTTTTTTGTTTAACAAAAACGATATGAATAAAAGGAATAGATTTTAAAATTCTCTCTTTGTTTTCCCGTCTTTTACATAAACACAAACCAATTCTGATTGTCTCGATACAGAGGTCACTATTTTACATATTTGAAAAACTCCTTAGTCACTTGTTTCTTTGATTTGATTTTTTTTCTATTCCACATTGAAAGAAAAAAAATTATTCCTTCGTCAAACAATGGCTACTCATGAAAATATAAATATGAGTTGTACTGTTACGGATGAAACGATCATAGAAGAATTTGATTCTTCATTAATAAATCATAATGAGATTATTTTATTAAAAGAAAAATTTCATGAAGTTGATGGAGGTGCTCAATTAACAGATAATAACCTTGTAGCAAGATATTGCTTTCGGACTTTATTAAAATACCCAATTATTTATGGTTATAACCGATATTCATGCGGTACACATTATATTCATTTTCAAATTGAAAAACGTGGTGATTTACGTTGTTTTTTTGGAATTGGTACATCATTGGAAATGGTAAATCGAGTTATCACAGTCGAATCAGATAATAAATCTCTTTATGGATGGTGGGGTTTGAATAGTTTTGTTATTAATGGTAAAGTTCAAAGAAGTAAAGAAAAAAATGATATTAAAAATTACGATGAATTAACATTGATTTTAAAATGTGATCATCAACAAATTGAATTAGAACATCATCGAACTAAACGTTTATTAAAATTATCTATTGATATAACATTATGTCCATTTCCTTGGAAAATAGTTGTTGAATTACCGACTTATGGTGATTGTGTACGGATTATTCGATCTAGTCATTTGTAAAAAAATATAAAGAAACGGTCAACAAAAAAGTTTATTCGCGTTAATTAAAATCACACTTGAAAAAAAAGTCTTTGCAATTCATGGTCGTATCAACTTGATTTTTCTATTAATGAAAATTATGCAATTTTATGTCAAAGTGTTTTATAAAAATAGATAGCATAAATTTTCTCCTTGAAAACATATTCTGTCATTTTTAAGTGTAAAAAAAAGAGAAATTATTCTATATTTGAAGTAAATATAAACATTAGGTTTCTTTTGTTGCACAGTGACAAGCAAAAATTTCTTTCTCTTACCTTGTTCTCAACATTTTATTCTTTCTTCTGATACTTCACGAGTAAAAATGAAGTAACTTTACTCTTTCAATATAATCTACATAGACTATTGTATTATTTCTTTTTTTGCTCATAAGCGTCAACGAGAACATTATAACCACAAAGTTATATGTGGACATATTTTTTTTTGACAAAAGAGAAAAGTGAACTTTGATTCTTCTTTTTTTTTCGTCTTAGGTTTAAAATGGCAACAATCACTGTAAAACAACCATGTGCTAAATGTAACAAGGGTGGAGGTGTTACGACATGTAATGGATGTCGACAAACATATTGTACAAAACATTTTGTTGAACATCGTCTTGAACTTTCACAACAAATGGATGGTATTAATCGAGATCATGATGTACTTCGAGAAGATCTATTGAAAGAAATTCCAAAACATTCGTTGTTCCTTCGTATTGATACATGGGAACAAGAAGCAATTAGTAAAATTCATCTAGCAGCGGAAACTGCTCGAAATGATCTACAACAATTACTTAATCGAACAAAAAATGATTTAAAATTATCAATAGAAAAAATGACTGGTGAACTACATTCAAGTCAACAAACAGATGATTATACAGAAAATGAGCTTAAACAATGGATGGAACAATTGAAGGAATTTCGTAAAAAACTTGATAGTCCATTATCAACTATGACGATTATAAATGATGATGAGATCAAATCATCTATTCATCTAATACGAATTTGTGATAAACAACATCAACAATTACGACAACGTTCTTCTACACCTACAATACGAACACCTGATTATCGTACTCAGCATGCTAAAGAATCTATTCATTGTTTTATTGAAAAACAACAACGTCCATCAACTCCTACAATTCGAACATGTGATCATCGTACTAATACTACCAAAGATTCTATGATGGAAAAACAATTACGTTCTTCTACACCTACAATTCGATCATCTGATCATCGTACTAATAGTATAAAAGATTCTATTACAGAAAAATTCAATGAAATCGATGGAAAAGCTATATTATCAGAAGATAATCTTGTTGTTACTTGTTGTTTAGCATCAATACTAACTCAACCAATAATTTATGGTCTTAACCAATATTCATCTGGAAAACATCAAATACGTTTTCGAATTGAAAAAATGGGTGATTTACGTTTATTTTTTGGAATTATTCGTTCATTAGAAAATATTAGTAGATCAGGTCAAGCTCAAAATAATAATAATAATTCACTTTATGGTTGGTGGGATTTAAATGAAACTATTATAAATGGTAAAATGCAATCAAGTAAATATCGAAATATCGTAACAACAGGTGATGAAATTACACTAGTGTTAGATTGTGATAATAAACAAATTCAATTACTTCATCATCGAACAAAACGAGTAGCATTATGTTCTATTGATCCTGAAAAATGTCCATTTCCATGGAAAATAGTTATTAGATTACAATCTGCTGGTGATTGCATACGTATTCTTCAATAAAAATAGATTTGTTATTCATTTCCTATATAAATATAAATAAATATATGAACATATTAATCAGGATGACTTACTTTCAATAGCTGTTAACGCAGGAGGACGGAACTTCAGCCTACGGATTTTCCGTCCCAGCCCGAAATTCCGGAATTTTGTGGCCCGGGCCGGAAGTCAGAATAAATTTTCTGACTGAATCTTTAATTAATAAACTTCGTAGTGCTCGGCAGGACGATATCTGACTTTAGGGCTGTGGGCTGAAATTCATGTAACCCATTTAAATCAATGCAACGTATTCCTTATTTCTTGGTTAGGAAATGCGAAATACTCAAAAGCATTTTGCCAATCTCTCATTCTATATATATGACTATATGAAACTTCTTTTAAGTATATTCTAGCCCGATTGTAGTATTTTATTTTCATTATCAAAAAAATAACAACCGAAAAAAAAAATTATATATATATATAAATAGAAGACAAGATATTTTCATACCAATTTTCCATGAAAAAAAAAAATTTACTACTTTATTGCACAAAATTTTATCATACATTGAAATAGATATTTCTATACATATATAAACAGAAAAAAAAATAAGAATTTTTTTTCAAAATATTCCAGCATGAATTAGATTTGTTTGTATAATCATATCCGAGATAGCATCAAAGACAAATTGCATTGCTTCAGTATCTGTTGCACATGTTATATGTGTATATAATTCTCTTTGATGACCATTACTTTTTTCACGAGTATCCATTTTTTCAAATTGTTCTTGAATATAACTAAGTGATGGTTCATATGTATTAAGACCTTTAAGAAGGGTAAAAAAATATATTATTTCGTATGATAAAATATTTAAACTAACCGGTATATTCAGGAAAACATATTTTAATAGATGAAAATCGTAGTTTTTCTGCAAATAAATCTTTTTTATTTAAAAATAATATCATTCCAGCTTGACGAAAAAATCGATTATTACAAATCGATTTAAATAATTGTAAACTTTCCGTCATACGATTCTTAAAAAATCATAAAGATGAATATTAAAATAATTATGTGTACAAAATAACATACGATACTATCATCTTCTGCTAATACAAGATCATATTCATTAAGAGCACTAACAAATATAACTGCTGTTACACCATCGAAGCAATGTATCCATTTTTTTCGTTCACTTCTTTGACCACCAACATCAACAATTCTAAAATATTTTATTTTATTTTTAAATTAATAATAATGAGTTTATACCGAAATTTATGTTTTTTTAATACAAATGCTGTTTCAACAATACCAGTAGTTTTAACACGCGTACGTAAAACATCTTGTTGAGTGGGAATATAATCCGGTTGAATAAGTCGATCAAGTGAATTTAAATAGCTAAAATTAAAATGATGAAAAATTAGTCTATGCAGATAGGTAAAAACCCTTTGAATCTAACTACATATATTATTCATAGTAATTGAGAAAATTATGAACCCATTAATAGTTCTTTTATAATCTCTTGTACATTTGCGAACAAACAAATCTATCATCTTTGTAATTTATCAACTAGACCGCACTAATAAGATGCAATTATTCCTTTTTTTCTTAATGCCGCTATAGGTCTATCATTGTTAGAACAGTCTGTCAAATTTTTGGATCTTAACGCCAATGAAAGAAAAAAATAAACAAATAATCGTTTTGTGAGTATAATTAGTTCTAACAAAATAATGAATATAAAAATAAAAAGGACATCCTATCCGAAATATAGCCTATTGTTATTATCTATCGCTTTGTCATTTTAATATCAATCATTTTCTAGCGAAAGATTAGGAGGTCACATTAGTATTTTTATGGTCTTTGACATAGACAAAAAAGGAAATGAAATATATCATACTAAGCAGCTGAATCGTTTAATTGATATTCACGAGATCGTAAAAAACATGCTTGAATACCATTATCCTTCCATAATGCTCGTATAGCTTTTCCGATATTTTCAGGTAAAATTTCATGATTCGCTTCAATTTGTGCATGGGTAAGTACAAGTTCAGCATCTTTCTAAAAAATATTCAATAGATTAAAAAAAACAGACATAAATTATTTAAATACTTTTCGATTAGAATCATCAAATGAAATTTGAAGTCGATTCATGGCATTCAATAAAGCTAACATAGATTGAATTGTATTCGAATAAATAACCGGTTTAAATCGAAGACATTCTTCAGTAGTATATCCATTCTCATTAAAAATTATCCTAAAATGAAATAAATATTTTCTTAAAGTTCAAAATGTCATATTTACTTCATTTGTTTAACAACTGTACTCTTTCCAGATTCTCCAGCACCTAAAAATAAATTAATAGTAATTAAAAATGAAATAATCTCAATCAAAGCAAAGAAGTAGATTATAGTTTTAAAGCAGCACATACTTCTTGAATTTTAAATAATAAACTAAAAAATATCGTTTTTTTTCTCGATTAAAAAAAAAGAATTTTTATTTAATTACCAAGTAAAAGTAATTTTGATTCCGCATTCATTTCCTTTCGCTCACGTTCTAATGCTTCATTAATCCTTTTATTAGTTTGTTTCGATGGATCACGAGGTACACAACAGCCCAGCATGTTTATCTTTTTCGTCTAAATTTTAAATCGAATATATTTTATTCTCAAACAAAAAGCTTGACATTTCGTTCTTTACTATTGGTTAACCGAATTTCACCAATCAGATACAAATATCTATCTGATTGGTCATTTCAATACAGGAAAAAAAAAACAAAATAATAACAACAAAAAGAACGGTACGATTTTTTAAAAGTACAATCATCCATGACGTCTATTAAATGATTCTTAATCTATTCTACACTTGACTGCATTAAATCATTAGAACGAGCAGGAGAGAAAAAAAAGTGTACTAAATTAATTTGTATATCGCTATAAATAGTACATACAAATGAGTTAATTATATACTTTTTTATTCTAGATTTATCGTCTTTTTTTTAAAATATGTATTTACAAGAAAAAAAAGGAAAAAATTGTTTTGTTTATTTGTCAATTATGACGTCAATTGAATATTATAATTGAAATCAAAGTAATTACTTTCTCTTTTTATTACAAACAAAAGTATCAAATGTTGTTTTTATCTATTTAATAACTTTTCTTGTTTACCGTAGTGGATTTTTATCTAAAGCAATGCATATTTTACGGATACTTTATAATAGAAAAATTGGAAATATTTATTTTTTTTAGTTATTATTAACAATGTTCTCAAAAAGTCGTAAGCAGCAGCAGCAGCATACAACATCAAATAGTACACGTTCATCATTAAAACATACAACTAATAATGATTCATCAATTACTTTAACAAAAGATCGTTCATCAATAATAACAATTCCTCTTCCATCACCAACTAATTCAAATTTTCTTTTTCCATCTACCACAACTACTACATCTACACAAGTTTCAAGTCAAAGTATGTAAAGAAAAAACTAAAATACGTCATTTAATATGTCTTGTTTAGAATCAACAATGTCAAATAATGGAAATGTTAGTGTACGTCGTCGTTTTCTTAATCTTCTTCGTTTTACAGCTAGTCGTCCATCAGCATCCGTTCGTTTCTCTCGTCAGCATAATACATCTATAAAAAATAATTCTTGTCAATCTTTAAAACAACAAACTTATTCATTAACACCAACATCACCCATTCATGATAATAATTCAATAACATCTTCATCAGCTATAATAAAAGATGATTTATTTGAATCTGTTGTTGCATCAGCAAATGAACATGTTATTAATATCGTACTATCAACAACAAATCATACAACAACATCATCAAATAATTCACTTGAAACATGTTTATTATGTTATCATGATTATTCATCGGATCAATTTGAACAGTTAACACTATGTTCACATTCATATTGTCGAACATGTTTAAAAAGTTATTTAAAATTAGAAATAACCGAAGGACGTATTACACTTAATTGTCCACAAAATGATTGTCCGGAACGTATACATCCAAGTGATATATCACGAATATTACAAAATCATCCAGATCTTATATCAAAATATGAACAATTTATGGTTCGACGTGTTTTACAATCTATAGCTGATACACGTTGGTGTCCAGCACCGGATTGTGGATTTGCTGTTATAGCTTCAGGTTATGCATCATGTCCAGAAATTCAATGTTTAAGACCAGGGTGTAATACATCATTTTGTTATCATTGTAAAGCAACATGGCATCCAAATAAAACATGTGAAGATGCAGCACGTGAAAAAACATCATCATCGAAACTTCGTTCAGGATCATTTATTAGTCTTGCTTCTGCTCAACAAAGTATGAAATGAATTAAATTTTGAAAAAATAATATGATTTTTTTCTTAAAATAGAAGATGAAATCAAAACATGTCCAAGATGTGAAGCATCAATATTGAAAATGGATGATGGTTCTTGTGTATGTTTAAAAGAAAATTTAATCATTCTTCTTCTAAATTCATCATATTTATTTAGAATCATATGACTTGTCCTATATGTGAAGCTGAATTTTGTTGGTTATGTGGACGTGAAATCTCGGATCTACATTATCTTAGGTAAACTATTAATCTAATACTTATTCGTGTATGCAATTTCAGCTAAATATTTGAAGAAACTATGATCTATTTTCTAGCTACAGTGTGTATATAACGTTATTTCTAAGATTATAATAATTATGTTAGAGTAAAATGACTCATTGACTAACAGTATACTTAGCTTTGATGAGACAATTAATATCCATACATGTTATTTTCAACTTAAGTAAATATTGTATACTTTAACATGAAGTATGATTAATTAGCTATATTTCAAGTTATTCAGAATATCTATATTTAGTTTAAATAATAACATTGTATAAATAAATAGAAAATTGATTTATTTTATGTTTTTTTAGTCCATCTGGTTGTACATTTTGGGGTAAAAAACAATGGAGTAGAAAGAAAGTTATTCTTTGGCAAGTTGCAACATTAATTGGTGCACCAGTTATAATTGCATTAATAGCTGGTGTTGCTATACCTGGTGTTGTTATTGGTGTACCTATATGGGCTGGAAGAAGAATATTTAAAAAATATAATAAACCTGACAATAGTAAAACAAAACGAAATATTCTTGTAACATTAGGTGTTTTTGGAAGTATAATTGCATCACCAATAATAGCTGCACTTGCTGTTGGTATTGGAGTTCCTATTCTTCTTGCTTATGTTTATGGAGTAAGAATTTTTCGTTGTATTTGACAAAAACCAAAATAATTATTGATTTTTAGGTTATTCCAATATCTTTATGTCGTACAGGTGGTTGTGGTGTTGGAACACGTAATGATATGTTAAATGGTGATAGTCCTAATATAGATAATTTTCTACCATTTTCTCTACGTGAAGTTGCTATTGCAAGAGCGATACTTAATGGTAAAATTATTCGAAATACAAAAAGGAAATTATTGAAATTTCTATATTTTTCTTAGATACACAAAGTGTAATGACACATCCAACAATTGGTGGTGATTCAAATAGTTTATCAAATAGTGTTGTTCAACTTGTTGATGATCGTAGTAATGAAAGTACAAAAGCATTACCTGGTACAGGTGCTGTATCATTATGTGAAAGTTTAGCACCATCAAATCGGTATAATTTCCATGAAAAGAATATATATATATATATTTTTAAATCTTTGTATTTCTATAGTCTTGAAGTTCAAGCTGAAATAAGTGATTGTAAAAGTTTTGATATTGAAAGTATTACAATCAGTGAAAAATCTTCAAAAACAATGGATAGTCTTAAAGCATTAGCTGGCTCAATAAAGTAAGTTGTTGTTTGATAAGACGAAAAAAACATTTTTTCTTCTATGAATAAAAATTGATTAAGAATATTATTTCCGATTTTCTATAGAAAATAAGTATTTACCTCTGCAAGTTGTTTTACTATATTTTAACTTTTCTTGAATTACAACTAATTTACCTTTGTATAATTAATCTCACTTCGATAAATTATCTTCTATCCTTCCGGAATAAATTTTCATCAAATAAATTAATTTAGTCATGCGAAATAAATACGGAAGTTTTGCTTATTATTCTTTCCTATGTGTGTCTGTGTGTGTGTATAAATAGATCTTCTATCTTTTTTTTCATATTGATTTTTATTTTTATCTAGAGATGCATGTGCTGTACCAAGTATTGGATATAATGATAATATATGTGGTAGTAATGGTGATTCTATTGGACGTAAATCAAGTCTTTTAAGTAGTGCGTCGGATTATGCACGATCAATAAGTGTCGATCAACATGTTAATCGTGCTGGTTCACCTTATAGTGATAAGACAGTTTCATTTTTTGATGAACGTGTTAAAGTTAAATCTAAGTATGTGATATAAAAAATTCATTTCGGTATATCAATTTATTCTGATTTGTTTTTAGAACATCAACGGAACGTTCATAAAGATATATATTTTATGGATCTGATTTAGTTTTTGTTTTTGAAAATGAAGAGATATATTTTAAAAACTCTTCATGATTTATTGTACTATTGAAATAAAAAACAAAAGATTTCCTTTTTTTGTTTCGTTTTTTTTCCTTATGTATGTAAATATTTTTCTGTATATGTTTCTTTCTCTCTCTCTCTCTTTTTTTCCAGTGAATTCTTTCTTTTTCTTCGTCGGCTACTTTTGTTGTTCGTTTCGAGCTTGATGTTTGTATTGAAAAGAAAGCAGTTTGATCCCTCTTTTTTTGTCGTTTTTTTTTCTTTATACTCTTCGATTATAAATAATTTATTTTGAGAGTGGTATATATATTTATTATGGCGGAGAAATTCTAACATTCTTCATGGTTTTATTTTGCTGTTTGTTTATTTATTACAAAGAAGGAATCATCATTGGAGAAAAAAACAAATGAATGATTTTATTTTCGCCTCATGAATGTCATTCTAATTTTAGATCTTTTTCTTTCGCCCTCATACGCTAATAAGGATTAAATTCTGAATGAATATAAGATAAATAGAATAGAAGTCTCAATTTTCAATATATCTAAAGATTACATAGTTTTGAGTAGGGGAAATATTAAACCATTGAATAAAGATTAAAAGAAATTTGAACTTACTAATTATAGTAAAAGATAGATAAAAAAATAGTTTGATAGAATTCTCTGCCAAAAAAAACGACTTTTTAGGATAAAAATAAATATGATGCCGAAGAAGTTCTCCTTGTCATAGAAAAGTATTGGATGGACACGATGTAAATTAAAAGTATGTATCCTAATTGAATACCTTTCTATAAAGAAGTGGCGGATCTAGCTATTCGACAAACCGGCGACCGCCATCCCCCTCGAAACAGTGGCGGATTTAGGGGTGGGCGATCGCCCCCCTCTTCAGAAATTTTTTTGATTTTTTACAGCAAAAATGAACGAAAAAATAGATTCACACTACTTCGATTAGGCTCAAAAATTGTTCTTAGTCGAAATCGTCCCTCCCTTCCAAAATCCTAGATCCGTCACTGCCTCGAAAATAGATACTTCGACAAATACTGAAAACAGGTAGAACACTATAGATTACTCTCTTAAAAAATAATACTACTTTCTACTTTTTTTTATAAACCGCCACCCCTTCATGGAAATCCTTAATCCGCCACTGCTATAAAGAAATGATGTTTCTAATTTCTAGAAGGTATTACGCAGTAGCGGTAGTTCTGTAATAAATATGTAGTTGGTTACTTATATTATTAATAAAAGCTTTTATTTTTCATATGTTTTGTTTTATTCTGTTAATTAACACATACATTAAAGCGAATGTATTTGAAACTACTAACGACATCTATAAGATAAGAAAAAGAATATCTATGGAGTAAAATTATTAGAAAAACCTCTTGTAGTTCAATATTTCTATGAATATTTTCTATAAACTTTAAATAAAAAATAAATTTTGAAAAACAATTTCTCATAAGAAAATCTAGTATAGAGAATTTCATACAGAAAATTGATTGGTATAAAACTGAATAGTTTTTCATTCTGGCCAGTGGCTATTCAAGTGAGCCAATCAACATTCAATCAATCATCAATTATTCTTTTTCGCTTCTATGCCAATCATTATTTCCTAATTAACAATACAATTTAATGTGATGAAAGACATCATATGCATTTGATATTTATTATTCTAGATCGATGTTTTTCTATTTCCGGTAATCCTAAGGTATACTAGATCTTCAAACTGTTTCTTTTTTGTTTACATATTTGTTGATTGTTGTTTTTTTTTAAACAAATCAGCGATGCTAAACAAAATATGGCACCACATGAATTTGCTGAAATTCGACTTGTATGTAAAGCTGATTATCTTGATCCACAATTAAAAATAAAATTACATGAAATTAAAGATAAATTAAGACAAATACTTCACACTGGTAACGAAAAAAAAATCGATTTAACTTTTTTTTATTTTTTATTTTTGAAATTTTAAATTTAGGTCGAAGAAGATTTGCATTAAAAAAAGTGCAGCCGTGGAATAGTGTTAAAGTTACTTTTGATATTCCGAAAGAGGCAGCTGATCGTTTACATTTACTTGCTATTCAAGGAAATGTACGCCTCATCGAACTCGGAATACTTAGTGTGGAAATTGTTGGACAATCAAATGCTATTGTAGTTAATAGCAATAATAATAATAATAATAATGATAATAATAATGTAACAACGACGACGACAACAACTAATCCAACAACAACGAACAGTATATTTAAATTATTATTATTTCAGAAAAAAATAAAATAAAAATTTAATTTTGTTAGGTAAAGATTTATCTGTACCATCATCAACAATAAAAACTCCAATTGATTGTCTTGAATCAACTGTTCCTCCACCTACAACACATAATTTTCCATTTGATAATAAAAGTGATGATCATCGACATAAACGAGTCAAATTAGAAAATGATAATGATCAACAACAACAACAACAACAACAGAATTATAATTTTCCATATAAATCACCAACTACTGTTAATCTCATGCAACCACCACCACCATCGACAATTGGACATCCTGTTGGTCATTATATGCCTCAACAAACTTCACAGATTATACATCGACAATCAACACCATCACATACATTAACGAATAACTATGGACGAATACCACATCCAAACAGTATTTCATCAACACATCCCACTTATTTAAACAGTTAAATTATTCTTAATAAAAATAATTCTTTTGTTTTTTATTGATTTTCTTTTTTTCTTCAGGTGGTAAACCTCCCCCTCCTCCTGCTCCTCCTCCACCTTCATCAAATTTATATCAATCTTCATCAACAATTGATAATAATAATCCAACATTATCAAATGGTATTGGAAATGATATGCATAATTATCATCGTCATGATTCATGGTCATCATACGGTGATCATTCAAATAATTATAAAATGAAAGTTAATGGAGTACGATCAAATCATTATTATCCTCAACAACAACAACAACAATTAAATTTATCTGATGGTCCATCATCATCGAATATGTATTGTACACAACAACAAACACAATATGATATGAGAAGATGTGAAACAAATATTCCTCAAATGACAACATCAACAACAAATATACAGAATTCATATGGTATTCTATAATTATTCAATAAAAAAAACTGAAAAATCTTTTCTTTATTTAGATGGTTCATCAACTGGTTTATCATCTTGAAATATTTTTATCAATTTCCGGCCGTTGATAACAGTGATTGAATGAACGTGTGTGTAGATCATCTTTTTCTTGTTTATTTTCTCTAATCAGGTCGTTTTTCTTTCTTTCTTTCTTTTTTTCTCTTCATATTCCTGAATGTGTATATTGAATGAAAACAAAACAAAAAAAAACTTATGCGTACTTATTGAATATAAAAACAAATCTTAAAAGCTAATCATTTAAGCACTAAATTATATACGGTGTTGAATGTACACTTTTCGTAGAGTTATCATTGTGTTCTTTGCAAAAAAAATTAAAACACGAGTTTCTAACCTCGATTTACCATTCCACCCAATAAAACACTCTTTATTCTACTTTTTTTCTCTCTCTATCTCTCTTTCGTTTGTTTGTTTGATGATACTTATGTGTGTGCGTGTGACTGATCTTCTTCTTCTACTGCTGCTGCTCCTCTTTTTTCTTCTAGTGGTGTGTGTGCCATACGCGTCTATGTGTATGTTCGTTCAAATTACTTCATTTGTTTTCTTTTTTCTTTGTGGTTTTCTTTTTCTTTTGTTAACAGAAAAAAAAGAATTGTATATAGATCAACGAGCGCATGCGATTCTTCGTTTTTCTTCTCTCCTACTGCTTCATTTTTTTGTATTTGGATTTTTATGCTCTATATTCGATGCGAGCTCATTCATTTTCTTTCTCTCTCTCTGTCTTTGTCTGTGTGTATTTTGCTTGTCAAGACTTGATGATAATATAACAACATCATCAATAACAAATAAACTTAGCTCGAATCAAATATTATTTTTTATTTATTTTTTGATCAAAGAAATAATTATTTTTGTAATTGTTTTTGAAAATATTCTCCTAATTTAACTGTTCCATACATATCACCAAAGAATCTTGTTTCAGCTGCAACATTATAATTTGTATTACAATTAACATCATAAACATAAACATTTGTTCCATCATCAACCCATTCAATTCCAGCAACTTCAATTTGTCGTTCACGTAAAAAATTTTCTAATTGTTCAATAAGTTGTTTTTCTTTATCGGTATATGAATCTTGTGATCGTATATCGAAACCATGTTTTATTTCATCAGCACTTTGTTTAACTAATTTTGAATCAGCTGTTTTACGACATGCATCACTTGGACATAATTGAAAACCTTGTCGTGTATCAACTTCAATAATATACATTAATTTATAACCAATAAATTCTGCTCGATTAATAACTTGTTTTGGTGATTTAATATATTCTTGCAAAAGATAAATACCATCAACTGAAAATTCTTCATCATCATTATTATCGGTATTATTAATTAAATTTTCAAATTGTTTTTCAACTTGTTTATCATCAGTAAATAAATGAACACCAAGTCCTTTTCCAGCTCGATTATGTTTACTAACAAATGGTGTCCATTTTCGTGTCGATTCATTAAAAAAGTTTTCTCGTGCACTTTCTTTTAATTTTTTGAGAAAATTTTCTTTTGCTATTGTTGATTCATTTTGATTAAGTGATGTTGCACTTGCAACAAATACTGTACGTGGTGAATGAATTTGACTTTTTGTTAATTCAACATATTGTTTTACTTTAGATAATTCAAGTGAAAGAGCTCGTTGATCATTTACAATTCGACATGAATGTAATGAAAGATAATCGAGAACTTGACTGGTTATTTCACAGGAAAAACGATGATTGCGTGTATGAGATGATGGTGAAATGCGATTAAAATATATTGCATCATGCTCAGGTTGTTTATCGAGTGAAAAACTATGCGCTTCACTTAGATTCCATTCTATAAAAGGCAATTTAAGTGCTTCAAATGCTTTTCGAAATGGAGGCAACCATACATCATTTTCATGTATAATGTAGACAGTCATTTTAATATTATATATAAAAATTTTTGAATACTTGTATATTTATATATACTTATTCGATATCATATATTTCGTTGAATCATACTGATAAATCATGCTTTGTCAGCATGGTACGAAGTTTTTCTCATTCTCTATGTCAATATTATCTTTTCTAATACGATTTTCTTTTTCTTGTTTTTTTAGATGACAGATTCTACTCATAATGATGATGCAAATATTATAGTTGAATTAGATACATTATTAGATGAAGTTCAACTATGCATAGAAAAATGTCGACAATATAATAAAATAACCGGAATGGGTAAACTTGAAAGAAAATTTCGTGCAGAAGATAGATTTCTTAAACGTGTATGTATCTATATTTTTAAAATACTAATCTTAATAGAAAATAATTCATAATGCACTGTCATTACGTTTACGAACTTTTTTTTTAAAAGTACTAATAAAGATAAGATTCATACTGAATAATCATTGGTCGATATGAAATACATTAAATATCATAGTATCTAGGTTTATCTATGACAACGTTCGCATATCTTTATGATAAGTGCGGTTAATATGATAATGAAAGTTCAACATTTTGATAGATTATCTTAATCTCATAATAAAATATTAAACTACAAATCTTATTTTTTAGCTTCGCACTGGTACATGTAATGTCAATCCTAATCATTTAAAAAGTTCTAATTTAACTCATCTACGTGCTGTTCTTGAACAAGTTGAGGATGTTGGTCCAGAAAATGTTAATGGAGTATGTAAATGTGTTATTAATAAATCAGAGATAAATTATGATTGATTAATATAGGTCTTAGTACCATTTAAAGATGATCGTCACCAATTACTTATATCTGAATTAGTATATAATGAAGGTCGAACATGGATGAAAATAATTGCTAGAAATGCACAAGCACTACATCTTATATGGAAAGTATGTTAATTTAGTTTATCTTTATTTTTATAATCGAATTAAATAATAATTAGGGTAATGGTCATTATGGACAACGAAGTATACTTATATCAATGAGACAATATCTTGAGACAGCTCGTAATAATGAAATACATTATCAAGTACCAGATATTGTGTTTTATTTTGTACAAGGTGTTACAGAACCTTTAGCGAATTTATTACGAAAAAATGGTATTCAAGTTAAGGTAAAAATATAAATAAAAAAATTTCAATTAAAACTAAATTCTCTATAGGGTACAATTGTTGAAGTTGATGAAGAAGTTGAAAAACGTTTACAAATTCTTGATGATTTTAGTTCGAGTGATAGTGAAGAAGAAAATGAAAGTGAAGTTGAAGATGATAATAATGATGATTATATTAATAATACAGAATTATTAGCAACGAATGAAACAAATAAAATAAATCTTGATGTTAGTACATTAATATGTCTTGTTTCGGAATTAACACATGGTGGTCATATATATCGTTATCCAAATAAATGGCTGGAGGTACCAGCAGAATTAGAACGTGCAGAACGTCTTGCTCCAAAACTTGAAAATTATATGAAAGGTTTTTTTTTATGAATTTTTTTCTTTTCTAATAATTTTTATAATAGGAAAAGAATTATTTGTATGTCAAACGGCATTTGAAGAATTTAATTCAATTGTTAATATAGTTGGTGGGCCTAATGAAAGACAACGAGCCGAAGAACTTTTTAAACGAGTAGAGAAATTTAATTTCATATTTATTCTAATTATTTTCATTTAGGTTACTATTGTCCCTGATTGTTTATCCGAACGATCGAATATATTACAAGAGAGTGTTAAAATAAAGCCAAGGTTTGATTAATATAATTTATATTCGAATGAAATATACATGATTTGTTTGTTTTTTTAAGAACAAAAACAATATTCGGTACTGGTGATTATTTACGAGCAGTAACAATGACAGCTAATAGAGGTTTTGTACGAGCAGCAGCACAACAAGTAAGTTTAGAGATCGCGTTCGATTAGGTACACACCTCAATCTTATTTCCAGGGAATTCAGTTCAACGTTTATACCCATGATAGTATTCCATTAACATTTACAGGATTTCTTAAAACAAATCCAATATTGTCAGAAGCTGTTCAGTGCGATCAGCAAACAAATTAACGATGGTGATGAGATATAATATTCTTCTTTTTATAATAGCAAGAATTACTTATTTTCTTTCAATTATTTATCAAGAAGACAAGACTCTCTTTGAATTCTATTTATATTTTTTGTTTATAGGGAGTTCCTTTTGCTGTATATTTACATGAATCACGTGCATTAACTGAGCAACAACAACAACTATATTCATTACCTAAACTTACACATTCAGAAGAACATATTTAAATTTGTGAAAACATATACTGGTGCTAATCAATACTCATGTGTGATATGTCTTATAAATTTAACCTATTATAAATCCCTTTGATATAACATTGATTTGTTGCACAGTTAATCTTTTTTTTTTCAAATATAAAAATCTAGAAAACTAATTCAAAGATTTCTTTTATTATAAAGTTATAAATTTCAATAGATGTATAATCTGAAAACTATCAATCGTAGAAAGACATTCAAAAATATGTACAACGGGAATTATCTAATAAAAAGGATCTTGTATTGTATGAAGAAATTTGATTAAATCTCGTTTCATCGAACAGTCATACCTGCACTCTTTGAAGTATATACTTCAGGCGTTCATTTTTCGACAAAACAAAAAGCCATCAAAATAAATTATATTATTCTTATAAGTTTTTACTTTTAAAAATAACAAGATTTGACCTGTAGAAAAACACTTCAAATATTTTTATATTAATTAGAAAACACAGTTGTGATATTGTTTTATAACATTGATTTCGATTATAATAGTTCGATGTTTAATAAGTCAAGGACGTTAATCACTGTTTAGAACTATATGCTAAAAACCAATGATTTTATCTTGATTTTCAAGGACGATTATTCATGAGATTATATTGCGATAAATCATCATGTATGAATAATTTTTAGAAAAAAATCATAGTTATTTGAGAAAGGTTTCTGATGGTCAAATCTGTGACTACATCTCAAGGTGTATACTATCATCGGGCTTATACAAGTTATTTTTAAATAAGGAGAGATATGATTTCTTGCTTGATATTTTCATTAAATAATCAAAAAAAGTTTGTTTTAACAAAACAATACGTCTAGTTCACTTGTTGTTGAAATTGATAAAAACGTAAAATTATTAATTTATTCGAATGACGAAGGTTTTTTTATGATTAATCATCAAAACAAAGGTGATTTCGAGGTCATAGAGATAATCATTTAAAGAAATAGTATCAGCATTTATACACTTTAGTTTATGACTTTTTTTTTGTTTAATTAAGATGAGACGGTGTGATGTAGTTGAAGAAAAAGAATAGATACACATATCAATATTTCATGATCAGTGTTAGGTCTTTGCGCCTGTAGCAAAAAAAAACCTAGACCTAATAAAAAGACATTTTTTTATTTGTAGTTGATATAGACATAGAATGAGAAAATATGTCGTTGAAAAATATATATTCACATGAAAAAAACGAAGAGTTTCTTTTTAATGTTTTTTACACCCTATGAATAACAAAATATCATATAAGAAGAAAAAAAAGGAGAGAAATAAATCAATGAAATGTGACAAGTACTGAAGGAATTTCGCATTTATACGTTGACAACAGTCGTATTTAAACGAAAGAAAACTACCTAGTTGACGAGGCTCATGGATAATTTAGGATTTCAACGTAATGCCTCATTTGCTACTATATCTGGTGCAGAAGAAGAGGTTATTCAAGCACATATTGATACTGTCAATGCCGCTGCTAATGTTGTTATGCCATTTAGTGAATGGCGTTCAAAATTTCGTAAGCTTTGGATTAATTATCAATGGCGTATGAGACATTATTTCTATATCCATCTATTTGTTTTCTTTTGTAATACACTTATATGTGGTGCAATTGTATGGGGAATTGAAGAATATAAGATTCCATACGTTGATTGTTGGTTTGTTAGTGCAACATGTGTATTTACATGTGGATTACAAACATATGATTTTGCATTATTATCACGATCATCACAAAGTGTTTTACTTTTCTTTACATGGATATCTGGTATAACAGTTAGTACAATTCCAGCTATTATTATAAAAATTTATCGAGTTAAACATGAAGTTATACGTTCAGAAGAAGCTACAAGAACTGTTGATAATGATATATTACCTATAAAAAGACTTGTTCCAAATGAAAGTATTGACTCACATGTATATGATCGTATTCATTCATTACCAAGTCCGAATCGTCTTCGTATAACAGCTTATATTTTAATGATTGTACTTATTCTATCAACTTGTTTAGTTATTTATTTCATTTCATTTCTATCTATGGGTATTTGGCTTAAATATCATTATGATCCAGAAGAAATATTACAAGCAAATCAAACTATGAATCCATTTTATGCAGCAATTGTTATTACAATAACTGGTTTTAATCAAAATGGTCTTTCACCTTGGTAACAAAAAAATCTTTTTACTTGGTGTTTTTTAAATCTAATGATTATTGTTTTTTTTTCTTGTTTAGGACCGGTGGCATTGCTTTGTTGGTTAATGATGTTTTTATGAATATTTTTATTATGTTTGTTGTTATGTCAGGTACTTCATTATTTCCTGCGATAATTCGTGGTGTTGTTAATTTATGCAAATTGATTGTATGGTAAGAAGAAAAAATAAGTAGTTAACAAAAAATAAAAAAGAACATAAAACAATAATTTTTTAGTTGGCGTTATAAAATCTATTTTGATTATATTTTACTAAATAATCATCGTTTATCTACGGTTATTTTTCCATCTATTCAAACAAGACTTTATGTTACAATTACAGTTTTATTACAAATATGTAAGTTATTATTATAATAAAATGAAAAATTTTTGTTTTTTGAAATATTTGATTTTTTAGTGGGTGTTGTAGTTGCATTAATACTTGATTATAATAATAAAAATTTAGCTGGATATGCAGGAGGAACACGATTTATGATATTTATGCTTGAAACTGCTAATACTCGTTTTGCAGGTATCTAAATATAAATACATCTTACAGCAGAAAATGATATATTTAATCTATAGGTTATGCAACAACTGATTTAAGTATATTAGCATCAGGAACATTAATTATATTTGTTTTATTAATGGGTGTTAAACCTCAAATGGTATGTAATTCATATTTTATAAAAAAAATTATTTTATTTTTTATTTCTTCTAGTTATGTGCTATAAATGAAACTCCATTTGAAATGGAATGGATGTTAATTCAAACACAACAAAAATTAGAAGATAAAGTCTCAAGTAATACTCGACGTGGAAGTCTTCAAATATTTTTACCATTTAATCGTATGAAACATTATTTATCACGGCAAGGTTCATTAACAAAAGCACAAGCAAAAAAATATTATTCTTCTATTGCAAGATCAACTCAAGCTGATCTTGCAGTAGATCAATTAAATGAAGCACGTATGCAACATCGTATGAGTATATTATCATTAGATATGTATGATGCATCAAAAGAGAATCAAAATTTTAATGCACGTATATCATTTCTTCGTATGAAACTTTTATTAATCATTTTTTGTCGCCATGCTGTTATAAGTCTATTCAGTTTATTAATCTCAACGCGTACATGGTTATTTCTATTTATTTTTCTTATTTGTGCATTTGATTCATATCATATGGCACCAGTTGATCCAAAAATAACTGTATTTCGTGTTATATTTGAAGTCATAAGTGCATTTGGTGGTTGTGGTTTATCAATGGGTCATCCAGATGTAACATCAAGTTTTGCTACAGTACTTACAGTACCAAGTAAAATTATTCTTATATTAACAATGTGTATGGGTAGACATCGAGGTTTACTTGATTCAATGAAAGATCAAGAAGAAATTGAATATAGTGCACAAACATTAATTGATAGTTGGAAACAATTGGCTCTATTAGAACAATTAGAGAAGAGAAAATCTTTAGCAAAACGTCAAACAAGATCGACTATACCAGTAATAACAAATCAATCACGTGAAACAAAACCAACTGTACCAGTAGTAACAATCGAAACAACTCCACAACTTATTACTAAATTTTAATAGATGTATATAGTTTTTATATTAGACGTAATTTTTTATCGAAATTTTACACAAATAAAATTTACATTATTCAGGCATTTTTTTTGTTAATAAATCGTTCTTATTTATATCTATACCCCCACTTATTTGCGTCATAGGTTATCGTTAAAATAGCGCACTGAGTCAATCATTCAACTGTAACCAAATAATGTCTATAATTATTGTACAATATAATTTGTCGCAATCTAATATATATTTATTCATCGGGTACAGTTGACTGTATTAGACAAAAAGAAAAGCGACTATGACTTTGGAACCTGAAGGTAAAATATGTGCTACATGTTCCAAAAGTGGATGTACGGCAATGTGTTTTGGATGTCAACAATCGTTTTGTACAAAACATTTTATTAAACATCGTTTATATCTTTCTCAACAAATGAAAAATCTTCATGAAAAACAAGAAATTTTTCAGCATGATTTAGATCGAGATTCATTTGAACATCCATTATTAACAAATATTTATACATGGGAACAAAAATCTATAAAACAAATACAAGAAACAGCTGAAAAAGCTCGAAATGATATTCAACATTGGATTGATAAAACGAAAAGTGTCGTTCAAAATAATTTAAATCAAATCAATGAACAAGTCCGTTCAAGTGAAAAAGCAGATAATTATACTGAACTTGATTTTGCTAAATGGAGTAAACAATTAGAAGAACTTCGAAATTTACTTGAAAAACCATCAAATATAGAAGTTGTAGAAGATGAAAAACCCTGGTCATTTATTCGTACAATTAAAGTGATTGATAAACAACCACCAATATCTTGTTCATCGATTGAATTACCAAAACCTGAATCTCATCATCATCATCATCATCATCAAAGATCAATTGAATCTATTCAAGAACGTTTTAAAGTTATGTTTGGACCTTGTAAATTAACTGAAGATGATCGTGTTGTTACACATTCAAGTTATCGTGCTGGTTTATCACAAACAAGTGGTATTAATCAATATTCATCTGGTAGACATTCGATTCCATTTTTAATTGAAAAAAAAGGAAATAAAAATATATTTATTGGTGTACTTTCTTCATCACATAAAATTATATCACCAACATTTGATTATTCTGTTCATGGATGGTGGAATCTTGATCATATGATTGTTAATGGTGAAAGTAAAGGAGGCGATAGTAATGAAATAATTCAAATAGGTGATAAAATAACATTAATTATTGATTGTGATAATCAAGAAATACAATTAGAACATCAACGATCAAAAAGACTTGAAAATTTACCGATAAAAATTGGTGTATGTCCATTTCCATGGAAAATACTTATTCGATTACTTCATCCAGGTGATTCTCTTCGTATTCTCTGTTAATAATAATTTATATATTTTATGTCAATATTAGACATTTTCTTTTTTTAAAAGTAGAAATTTATAATTTGTTAAATATAATAATGAACCCAATATATTCGTTTGATTAAATTAATTTTGTAAAAAAAGTCATAAAAATTTATTCCATGTCCTTCATTGTCGTCCTCAAATAGCGTATATTGTTTTGATATGTCATGTTGAACCAAGCGTAACAAGGACATCAGTAAGCACACCAATCATTTTCAATGATGTTCAGATTCAACTAATCGCTGACAAATAATTCTTCTACTCAAAAAATAATTCAAAGATATTAAACAATTCATCGTATTATAACCGAAAAAAAATCTTCATGACTTATACTGAATGATGAGTATATTTATATAATTATTTCTGCTTTGAATAAGTATATTTCAAGTATTCTTGTGGTTGTTTTTGAATATATATATTACGAGAACTATTTACAGTAGTACTCTTACATAATTGAGAAGAATGTCAATGTATACATCATAATAAAAATAGAAAGTCTCAAATAAGAACTAACGGAAAAAGGATTATGATAAATTATCGAAAACTATTCAATGAATTCTTTAGTATCGAAGATAATTCATAAACTGTGAATAAATTCTCAAGATGAATTAGAAAGCCTAAAATGCATCATCTCTATATTGATTTTCAAGATGATCCGATAAATACATTCACTTTAAACAAAAAGACTTATTTAACATCTGTCCGTACGAGAAACGCATTTAAAAAATGATCGATATCTTACTTCAACCATTGATATTTATAAAGTTTTTAAGTAAAATTTTGTGAATTTGTTACATGAAGTACCCTAATGTTAGATTTAAAGCTATTCTATTTTTATTTTAAAACTGACAAGTGAATCTAATCAAACAACAGTCTGTCTGAACACTTAATGAACAGCAACCGAGCGCATATATCCTTTTTTTTAATCACGCGCGCTTTCTAAACTCATACAACGTCAGGATCTTTCATTGTTAGATATTGAGTTTATCTAAATAACCTTAAAGTTCATTATTTTTTTCTAAAAATATTATATTTTGTGATTCTACGGCTGCAGTCAATGAACGCGTGTTTAGTCGGCATTATTCTCAGTATTAATATTTTTTCTTTTTCTTTCTTCTAGAACATATGATGAAAAAAAATTCATTTTACACGTTACTAATGTAATCATTTTTCTCCTTCATTCTCTACAAACGACAATATTTCTTTGGGTAGATAAATGTTTTTTATTTTTTTATATAGTTAAAATTTACATGCGAAATAAATTCTAGAAATGGCAGCAGCTTTAGTGAAAAAGCCTTGTATGAAATGTAATAAAGGTAGTGGTGTTACTACATGCGATGGATGTCAACAAACATTTTGTATGAAACATATTATTGAACATCGACAAGAACTTTCAATAGAATTGGAAAATCTTGTACATGAACATGATCTTTTAAGACGTGATGTATCACAAGAAAATCAAGTACACCCTCTTCTAACACAAATTAATGAATGGGAACAAGAATCACTGACTAGAATTCAAGTTGTAGCAGAAAATGCTCGAGCTGATCTTCAACAATTAGTTGATGAATCTAAAGGTAAACTACGATTATTCATGGATAAAATGACAAATGAAATTCAATCAGGACGAGAATTAGATGATTATACGGAAACAGATTTAGCTAAATGGACAGAGAAATTAAAAGAACTTCGTCAATTACTCGAAACACAATTGAATGTTCAAATTATTCGCAATGATGATGAATCAATTGCTATACGTATGATTAAAGTACTAGACGAACAACTTCTACATTCCACGATCGCTTCAAGAGAAGAACCTGTTGAAAAGAATATTATTCATGAAGAAACATTAGCAGTTCCTGATGAAAGATTTCAAAATTTTCAAGGTCGAATAGTCTTATCCAATGATCGACTTTTAGCAACATGTTTTGGTACTTATTGGGATGGATCTAATGTATATGGTACTCGTTTATACACAAATGGAATACATGAAATTCGTTTTGGAATTGAATATAAAGGAGGTAATAGTCTTTTCTTTGGTATAAGAACAGTATCAAATGAAATGCCTCTCCAAACATTAACTTCAAAATATAATTATGGTTGGTGGGAATTAGATCAAGGTATTGAAAGTGTTAGTGGACATCGAGTTCATCATGATAGAGGTATTCGAACAGGTGATGAAGTAACAATGATATTAGATTGTGATAATGCACAAATTCGATTTGAACATCATCGAATAAATCAAAATAGTCATTTACCTGTTGATCTTCACAAATGTCCTTTTCCATGGAAAATATTCATTACATTACGATCACCTAATGATAGTATTCGTATTCTTGTATAGATATATAAAATATTGTTTTTATTTATTTAAATAAAATGCATTAATCAATTATTGCACTCAGCATTCACATAAATTTAAAAAAAAACTGTAAAATTGTTTTTATAAAAACAAAAATTACTAAAATTATTGGAAAGAAAATAAAATCACATAAAAAAATAATCATTGCACTTTGTTTTGAATTACATTAATGTATATAGACTTTCATTTTTTTCCTGCTATTAATAATGGAATATTGTCATTTCGTTGAATTATAAATTAGTTTAATCTTTATCAGCAGCCCATTCATCATCATCATCATCACCATTCTTTGATGATGAAGATGAATTTTTTCGTTGACGTAATAATGATGTTACATTAATACCACCAACAACTTTATCTGGTTCTTCAGTTGTTGTTGATGGTGCAGTTTCAATATTATTGTTATCATTTTCATTTGAATTTGAAGTTTCAACATTACTATTGTCAATTTCGTTTGATTTTGAACTTGGTATTTCTGGTGGTGTAGGCGTTTTTGGTCGAACTGGAGATGGTTCTCGTACTGTTTCCTGTTGTTTGACTTTCTCTTGATTATTATTATTATTAGGTAGTGGTGGTTGTTCAACAACAGTTCGTTTTTTTCGTTCTTCAGCAACACGTTGTGCTGTTTCTAATTCTTTATCTTTTTTCATATTTTCAAATCTATACGAAAAAAAAAAACAAATCAATCAATGATATCAATTGATTAATTTTCAATTTTACCTTGCTCGAATATTACCAACATCTGCTTTAGTGCTTGTAGGTGCTGCAGGCTTTTCGACAACTTTTGTTACTAAAAATATCAAAGATAAATAAATATGATTATCTAAAGAAAAAAACAATGGTAAGCATCATACCAGCAGGTGGTGGTGTTGGTGTAGGAGTAGTAGCAGATATGGATGGACTAGTCTTTTCTTCTTTTTGAACACCATATTTTCCACCAAAACCAGCAGTATAATCTGAAGACAAAAACAGATTTATCAAATAGTTACTAGTCAATTTCAATCAATAAACCTGTTTGTGACGAATGTTTTGGTGTTGTTTCTTTATGAGAAAATCCAACCGCTGTTTTATCTTGAGCATTTTGTTCAGTACCATATTTTCCACCAAAACCTTTCGAACTATCTAAAAATCAAAAATAAACTCTTCATTATTATTCATATAATATTTCCAACCTGTTTGTGATGAATGTTTTTCCACTGTTGGTTTATAATCAAACCCAACTGCAGATTTATCCTTCGCACGTTCATCGATACCATGCTCGCCACCAAAACCTTTTTTACCATCTACGAAAAACAAACAAGTAAATAGATGAATAATTCTGAAGGTGAAAAATATTACTCATTCATTCATTACTCAGGTGATAATAATCTGTCTTTTACCTAATGATGCATATGAATAGTATGTTTAGTGGAGGTGTATGAGTATATAAATACTAATTTTATCAATAGCTTTACTTATCAAACTTGAAAATGGGTAATCGACAAAAAGGCCGTCAAACAGCAGCATGGGAACTCGATGCTATATCAAATTTAGTTGGCATTCCTCGCAATCAATTGGAAAATATTTATAAAGATTTTCGTCGTGTATCAAAAGATTATCTTCTTGATAAAACTGAATTTCGTCGTATTTACAAAGATTTAATACGTTATTCACCTCAATATCAAGATAAATCACATTTAACATCCTGTGAACTTAATCGACGAAATAATGCTACAGCTGATCGAATATTTAAAACATTCGATCGTGATCATACAGGTCGTTTATCATTTGATGAATTTATATCTGCTTATATTATGTTACAAAATTCTATAAGTCCACAAATACGTTTAAATTTTCTTCTTGATCATTATTCACAAAATAATGGTTATATAACACCAACAATGGGTCGACGTGTTATACAAGACATGTCAGATTTATATGGTGTTAATACTGATTGTCAACAAGTCTGGAGAAATTTAGAAACTAATTGTCCGCTAAAAAATGGTTGTATACCACAACAAGCATTTACAGAATATTTTATAAATCATCCAGCTTATTCATCTGCTTTTTATAATGGTGTACAAATACCTCTACCTCCACCATCACCACAATTATAAAACAATAAAATGACAAAATTTATTTTTTACTAACCTGTTTGTGATGAATGTTTATTTATATCAGCTTTGTATGAAAAATCTGCTGCATTCTATAATTTTGTTTTAATTATTAATAAATAAATAAATAGAAAAAAATTAGTTATTGCTAACCTTATCCATAACTTGTTCTGTACCATATTTTCCTCCATAACCACGATTAGGATTTTTTTGTTGATATGTATCTTTAACAGCAACATCAGCTGTTTTGATTTTTTCTTGAATTGAATTGAAATCAACATGATCAACGCGACCAGAACCTGGTATACTTTTTGAACCATAACGTTGTGTTTTTTCAGTTACAGTATTCTATGAATAGAAAATGAAAAAAAATTATCTATTAAATTTCATTAGAAATATACTTCATAAGCAGTATCAGTTTCCCAATCATCATCTTTTGTATCAAATTTCGGTTTTGGTGCAGCTGGTTTAGCTGCAGATTTGTTCAAGTTTTGTTTCCACGACATATGAAGTTATGAGATGAGTAATTGAAAAAAAAAGAGTTCTTAAAATAATTTTTACATAGAAGATTGCGCCACATGCTTTCATCCAATCTCAACGGTGTAGAAGAGTATCACTAAGGATTCATGTTTGGTTGGATAAGATGGAGGCAGGAACATAGCGACATATATAACGAAAAAGAAATCGTTATTAAAGAAAACTAGTTATGAATTCTAGTCGATCTATACGGAGTAATGCAAGTATTGGTGATCGTGCATCACCCAATTTTCTAATAAAAAGATCTGATAATATACCAAATCGTTCATCATCACCACCATTAAATAATCGTTCATCACTTATTCGTCTTCAAGATACAGACAAAAATGAACCTTTAACGAAAAATTTCAATGAAGATGATATAAAATATCATAAAATCGCTTTTGAACGTTGTATTGATTTATCTGAACGAGGTGTAATAACGAATCGAGAGAGATTTATTCAAGGTAATTTCATTTCGATTTTAATTCATAAAAATTAAATTTTTTTATTTAGCTCTTAATTATGTTGGGTATGATTTACCAAAAGCAACGATTGATCAATTATGGTCAGCCAATCATGGTAAATGTCGATTCATTTTTTTTCATATGATAATTTATTGTTTAGAGGAAATAACATTTAAATCTTTCGAACGTATTCTTAACCAAGAAAAATCAATCGATGAACGAATTCTTGAAGAAGCATTTGAAACACTTTATAGTAAAGATAAAAAATTCGATTGGAATATTGACTTCAATAAATTTCGTACGGATATGATTGAAGTAAATTTAACAGAAAATGTTGAATATTTTATTAAATATATTTTATTTAAGAAAGGTGATCGTTTAACAGAAGTAGAATTTGAAAAACTTCGTCGTTTACTTGGTACTGAAAATGGAAAAATTGATGTTAAAAAAGTTTGTAGATTTTTATAATTACCCAGAAAACTAAAAATATATAATTTAGTTAACAAAATCAATTGGAGAAAATAAAGATAATTGTCGTCAAAAAATTATAATAGAAAAAAAAGAACAAAGAAGAGGTAATTTATAATAAAAGAAAAAAAAATATTTAGATTTATTCGTAGATGAAATCGAACGATTATCATCACGACCAAATTCACCAAAACTTAATAATAATAATAATGTTCGAATTCGTATTGATTCAACCTCACAAAAATTAATTATTCCTTCGGTTTGTTAAATTTTTTCTGTATCATATGAAATTCTATTGATTGCTGTTTTTTTAGGGAATACGTTCTGTACAAATCAAAGGTGCTTTCTTTTGTGAATATTTTGATTCACCAACTGATGCACTTTATTTTTCAATTGGGTATTCATTTGAAATTAAAAAAAATACATCTGTATGGATAACACTAAAACCAATAACTTCGCCATATCATGCAGGTAGATATTTGAAAACAGAAGTAACAGATATGATGTATTTACTTTATTAGGTTCATTATTCAAAAATCTCGATGTTCGACTTCTTCTCTTTGAAAAACTTCCACGTTCAACAGAACGACGTCTTATTCAAATTAGTTCTGCACGATCAGGAATTGTAAATAATATATATCATTTTTTCTCTAATTATTTCAATTGAATTAATCTAGAAATCATATATTGAACTGAATGACTTACCAAAAGGTTCATATGAAATAATTCCGATTACATTTGGTGGTGTACTTCGACCACGAACACGTGAAGTAAATGAACGTCCACCCATTAAAACATTACGAGAAACTCGAGGAAAAAAATATTCGATGAGTAAAGATTATCGGTAAGATAGATATTCTATTTGATATATAAATATATTAAATTTTTTTTATTCTAGTGATGCATTAGAATATATATTCGATGTCTTTGATTTTAATGGTAATTAAAAAAATTCTTCGAAAATTTGAATTATTTATTTTTTTTAGATAATAAACAACTTGATCGAAATGAATATAATTTATGGACAATACGAACAACTGGTGAAGAAATAACTAATGAAGATTGGTTATCAATTCGCGGTAAGATATTTTAATTAATAAAATAATGAAAACTAATTGACTTTTTTATGTCTATAGACCATGTTAGTTTGGATGAGGGTGAAGGTATTTCAAAAGAAAACTTTTTTAAATTAAATGATTTTGAAGTACAAGATCCGGATACAACTGAAACAGATTTATGGGCGGGTTTGAAATCTATTGGATTTAATTATGCACTTGAACTTGATATGGTTAGTGATTTAAATAATTTCTTTTTTTTTATCAAAATTTTGTTATTTAGATGTGTCCATTTGAATTAACTGTACATGTCAATGAATCTAATATACATCTTGAATCAACATCTTTTGTTGAATTAACGGAAATCAAAAAAATTCTTATTAAATTTTTACAAAATAAATCTGAAAAAATCAAAATTAATTCAACTGTTCAATGTTTTAATTATCATGATGATTGTGGTTCAATACTTATTGTTGACAATAAAGTAAATATTTTTTATTCATAGAATTAATTAATTCATATATATTTATATAGGGTCCACATAATGTTCGAATATCTGCTCAAGTAGTCAATTCAAATAATGCTGCTTTAACATTACCAATTGATTCACGTAAACCACCTATTATTAATATTCGACATGAAACTTCTCAAGTATAGACATATTTTTTCTGTATTGAATATTAACTTATTTTTATTTTATAGATTATTTGGTTTGCACATAAATTGGATAGTTTGCGTCCAATGGAATTAGACGCGAATGTTCAAGTCCAATAAAAAATATTTTAAATTCTTTTTCTTCTTCTTTTTTTTCAAATGCCATTGAAGTTTTCCGTCCAGCTTTTTACTAATTGGTAACAGTTTTATTGTACCTAATCAATTATTGCTTGTTTTGTAGGGTTGTCATATACGTTTAACGAAGCTTTTTTTAGACCAATATCTATTGTATGTGTGAATATTTAATAAAGCCTCGCATCTGATTTATCAATATATATTTATTGATATAAAAGATTTTAATAAATCTGAAATTATACTGACTGCTACAGAAAAATTCATCTTTGTCTCTTACTATTATTCAGATATCCCCTTTCTCGTAGAGAAGAGTCCAGTAAAAGTTAATTGTTTGCTTGCTTGTCTATCCGCAGGGTCAAAAAAACATCGATACCCTATTTTTCACGATTTTCAATTGTTTTTCCAGTAAATGCGAAGAGGATACATTTCTACGAGAAAGAGCTAAACGAGTCATCGGACAAGCGTTACTTGTTTATATTCATTGAAGAAAGAAATAGCAATATATTAATCAATTTTCTTAAAGATAACTTATTTTATTAGAAGATGATTTATTAAAAATTTATTAAAATGATTTTATATTCTTTTCAGATAGTATCATTATGTGTAATACTAAATTTTTAGCAATTTTCTGTAGTCTGTTATCTATTGTAAGTATAAATAAGTTTTCGTTGTGTTCAATTGAATAATTCCTATGATTTAGACTTTTGTAACATCTGATTTATTATCTTCAATTGATTGTCTTAATCGTGGTTTTTCATCGGATAATTTACTCTGCTCTAATTGCCATGATTTAAAACAATTTAAACTAAATGAATTAGAAAATACATGTCAACAATGTTGTACTCATACTGATAATGGTGATGATGATGAGAAAGGAATTGTAAGAATCAGTAGAAAAAAAATGTTTTTTTGTCTTATTTTATTTTATTTAGAAATATAGTCGAGCTGTTCTTACAGTATGTACATGTAAATTTGGACGATATCCTCAAATCGAGGCATTTATTAAAAGTAATCGTCCAAAGCAATTTCCAACATTTTCATTTAAACATGTACCTGGTGCAGAACCTGTTCTTCATTTATATAATGATAAAGATGAAAATGTGCAATCATTAGGTATTGAAAAATGGGATACAGATACATTAACAGCATTTCTTGAAGAAAATTTACAAGTTTAATTTTTCTCTTATATTCATGTTGTTACCCGTTTTTTTTATTTGTTTTAAGAATTAAAAATAAAATAAAATAATTCTTCTAATATCCTTCCCATTAAATAAATATCTTTTTTTCATTTCTCAGATATTAGAGTACGATAGTTGATAAATCGAAAAAATCTTGATTATGTATAAAATATGATTCAAGTTTGAATTTTCAAATAAAATAATTATGATTTTATCTAAAATTTGTATAATTGATAAATACCTTCATCATCAGTGTTTTATCCGGGTGGACAAAACGGAAACCCAGGGTGGGCGCTGCCAATCAGTGCTTTGTGTAAGTCTCGTTTTTTCGGTGGGCAAACCGAAATTTCACGTGAGCGCCGCCCACCCAGCAAGCTCGCTAGATAAAACACTGTTCATTATAAATAAAACGTTTCCTGTTATTTGTTGTATTAACCTATGAATAAATAGTTTTATGTTTTGCAAATAATACGATCAATGATTGATTTTTATCTTGTGAAAATATATCCGATAATAAATTCAATGTTTGTCTTCAATAGCAAATTAAATAATCGTTGTTTCTTTTGTTTGCTATGTAATTAATAAACATAAATATTTTCTTTAGATAAGAAAGAAATGTCAATGAATAATTATGAATGGCAAAGAATAGAATGTGAAGAAGAATTAAAGCATTTTATTGATTTACGACAACGTTTTCGTCAAGTAGATAAACTTTCTTTTTCGATGTATTATTTATTATTATTTAATGTATTATTTAGTATTTAAAAGAGAATAACAATACTATATGGTATTCTGTTGCACAAGTGAGAGAAAAATTAAAAACGATTCATTATTGTCTTTAGTAGAATTATTTTCAAAGAGATTTAGAATTACTTAATGTCTCATTAATTGAATGTATATGTGATCTTATTCATATCAATAAATTATTAACAAATGAAACACATAATGATTTTTTTCTTGAATTAAAATGTGAAAAAGTTTATACTAATAATAATAATGATGTATGTATTCGTATTTTTTTTGTATAAGACATTCTATTTTACGTTTATATATTTACCATAGAAATTAGATCAATCAATAAAAAAAATCTATTTCAGTCGTCGTTATCGAGCTTTAATCAATAGTCGGTTAGTATTTAGAAATAAATTGAAAAATTTTATTTTTTGTCTATTCTAGTGAAATCTTACTTGATGATTTAAGTAAATCAATCAATGATGATTTTGATAATCGTATGCTTAAAATGCGTGCTATATGTGTACTTGATGAAGAATTAATTCATATTCAACAAGAATTATTATCGAAATCATATGAAGAACAAGCATCTATTCGTTTACATCAAATTCGTGCAATGATAAATGTGTTTTTTAAACAAACATCTTCAATATCGTTCAACGATAAATCATCAATGATTTCATTAATTCAATCTTGTGATTCATTTCTATCAACATTTCGTTTATTATTATCTAATACAACATCTGATATAAGTCAAATTTCTTCATCAGATATTTAAAATGAATAGATGAAAAAAAAATGTTAAGTTTCGGTTTCGGTCTCAGACCAATTCATTATGAATATTTACATGATAAAAAGAAAAAAAAACAATGAAAATAACAATTTTTATAAATAAAAAAAAACGAAGAACATGAATTATATATGATTTGTTTTAAGACCTTTTTTAGCTTGAAAACGATAAGCTTTTTGCATATGTGTTGGTGTATGACGACGATGACATTGACAACGAAGTATACGAGCAAATGTTCGGCGAAATGTTCCATTACATAATGCATAAAGCATTGGACTATAAATCAAAGAATAAAATTATCTTATAAATCCAAAAAAATAAGAAAATCTATACTTAATCGTTGAATTAATATAACATAACATATAACCAAAACGTTCCCAGTACATTGGGAAACCATGTGAAAATATATCTGGTTTTATTGTTGATATAATAATATTTGTATTATAAGGAAGCCATGTCACAATGAATGCAATTAGAATAGCACTGAAATATGAAAAAAAACATAAAAACCCCGACAAGTAGATTTTTTTTCTAAATAGAAATACCTTAGAGTTTTTGCAGCTTTTTGATCTTTTACTTTTTCCATACGACGTTTCACTGTTTTTACACTTCCATTTGTATTTGCTGTTACTTGCGATGAAAGCTTTTGTGGTATTGGCTTTGTTGGTGAAACAATTGTTTCATTGATTTGTTGTGTATTAAAATATTTTTGATGGACAAGAAGTGTTGACTGTTGTTGATCATTTGGTAAAGGTGATAATTCAGTTATATAATCATGATGAGGAAGTCGTAGCCAACTGCTATTATGTGAATAATGAGAAGATGCTGGAAATGAAACTGTTGTCTGACCACGTAATCTTGATTCGACATATTCAATGTCTTTATCAATATTATTAAGTAATGGTTGACGTTGTTGTTGTTGATGTGAAAGATGTTCATCAGATGTTGATGCTAATGAATGATAATAAAGACGTGTCTCATATTGAATTGATTTTTGTCTATGTTGTTTTTGTTCTTGATTATATAAATATTCTATTGATGGGGGTTGATCACAACGACGAATCCATGGATCCGCATATAGATTAGATTTATTTTGTTCAGATGTATCACGTAGAGTATTCGACGTACGACCATTAACAAGACATATTTTTCCTGTATTTGTTAATGGAACATTATCAGTTAAATTTCGATTTAGATTCGTTGTAATTATAGAACGAATTTCACTTGAAGATTCATCATCATCAACTCTATTAGAATTTGATTTTGATTTGGTTGAATCATGTTGTCTTAAATAAACATAAAAGTTTATTATTCTTTTTTTCTTATATATAAATAAGACATCTAAATTTTATTACCTTGTATAATAACAACAATAATTAAATTTTTTATTTTGTTTTTTATTTAATAATAATAATTTATTAGCTGAACAATTTTGTAAGGATATAATTTTTTGTCGTGAACGATTTGAATCCGTTGATATACTTTCATCTTGTTCTAAAACTAATGTTGTACCTACTGAAGTTAAATTTTTTGTTAGACGACCATTTGAAATAGTATTATTATTTGTATTTGTTGACTGAGAATATGATATATGATGTTGAGCTTGTAATAGATGTAATTCCTTCCGACGTTTCACTGTTTCACGATATATACGAAAATAAAGTAAACACATTAATGTAACTGGTAAATAAAAAGCAGCAATAGCTGTTGGTATTGCAACTATTATCCAAGAAAAACAATCAAACATATTTCTTTCTTTGTTTCTTTTGTCTCTCTTACCTATTGCTTTGTCCGTAAATGGTAGTCGACATTGACCGGGTGGTACTCTTTCATCAATTAACGGCCAAGTCCATATCCACTAGAATAAGAATATCATTTTTCTAGTTTATTTTGTTTTTTATTTAAATATAAATCTTACAGGTGTCCATATAAGACATGAAATAGTCCAAGCAAAACCAATCATAAATGATGCACGTTTTGGTGTACGTTTCGATCGATATGTTAATGGTCGTGTTATAGAAAAATATCGATCAAAACATATAAGTAAAAGATTAGCAACAGATGCATTTGACATTGTATAGTCTACACTAAGCCATACATCACATAAAAATGAGCCAAATGGCCAACAATCTTTTTCAAAAAATGTAAAAAATATTGGCATAGAAAAGAATCCAATTGTAAAATCAGCTACAGCAAGTGATAATAGAAAATAATTTGTTAATGTACGTAGTTGTTTATTAATACGAAACGAGATTAATACAAGTAAATTACCAATTGTTGTTAATAAAGTTAATATTGTACCACCTACTATAATAAGAACTGTTTTATAAAATGCAGCTGATGAAGTTTTTGATGTTATTGGACATGTAAAATTATTAAATGAACTATTCATATTATCTTCAGTTATGTTTGTTGAAGAAAACTATGAAAACTAAAAATAAATAAATAAATATATGTATATCATGATTTTCTTTTTATATTGTAGCGTAAATCAGTCCCATGAGATTATATTTCCTGGTAAAGAATATCCGGACGGATTTATAAATTGATCGTGATCGAATTTCTTTAGGGATTAATTCATGTTATACAGATGTACTCTGTCTTTTTCTTCTTTTTCTGTTCTAGTTTAACTTGATGTACTACATATATATTATGACTTAATTTCAAAAATCGATTGATAATTCTAGAAATATTTAACGTACCTATATACTCTCTATCTAAAGATAAAAGAATACATCAAAGAAAAAGAAATCTCAGAATGACACTAAGATTTGCATTTAGATGAATTGACTATCATAATCAAATCGAACACTATTTGTTTTCTGTCTACTACTATATTTTTTCGAACGTTACATATAACTCTATCAGAATAGATCAGATCAATTTATGTTGTTAGTCTAGCGAAAGATAAAGAAAACGTTAGCATGAAAAATAACATTAATATAAAAATATGTTGTGTCATTGAACTAGGACACTTGTTGAATGTTTTCTTGTTTATTTATTATCAAAACATTATCCATATGTTGGATGATAATATGTTTCATTTGTAAGAAAGAAAGAAAGACAAAAAAAGTATTTTTCTTTTATCAAGGTGTGTAAAATTAAAAGAGAAAAAAATCGTTTATATTTGCTTACTTTCATTTTTTTCCATTTGTAAAAAATTACGAATAGGCAACTACTATCGTTTGTCGATGTATAGTGTTATGCTTTCGAGTACTATACGGTGAAAATGAGATAGAGAGCGAGAAAGAAAACTCTCTCTCTCTCTCTTTCTTTCTCTATGTCTCTTTTAGATAGGCAAAAGATCTTGGGTAATTATTTTTCTTTCGGCAATATTTACTTAAGAATTCTTCTATCACTAACCTTTTTATATAAATACGTGCATGCACACACATATTTCTTAAGAAATTTTGTTATATCCATGAAAAATTAGTGTTCTATATTCGCCCGACATTCTGTCTCTCTCTCTCGAAACATTTCGAGCAATTCAATCATGTTATTTTTAACAATCAATTTATTTTTCTTATCATAACCCATCAATACACTATAAAGATTTTTAGCTTGCTTATAGTTAATCGATTATCTTCTCTTTTCTTTATTCGTTTATATAAAAGAATATATAAATATAATAGTATGTGAACATACGTTAAAAGATTTTTGTCGAGGCATGTGTTTACTAACCAATCGATAGCTCATCAATAAATTAAAGTAGAATATATTTTTCTAGAAAAATAGATTTTGAATAGACAAATAATTACCAATAAATGTAGGAACGATCGTAATAGTTTCGATGTATAATTGTATGTATATATATTGACAGACATATCTTATCATAAAGATAAATTCACTAATCATCTTATTCTCTGTTATTTGACACTGTCAGCTTTCACTTCTTGATTTGATCTATTCCGATGTTAATAGCAAGGAACGCGTAACTTCTACTTTAGACATTAGAACAAGGAGGAGAGAGAGAGAGGGAGAGAGAGAAAGAATGAAGGAAAAAGAAATAAGAAAAGAAAGACGATCATAGAATCAGCAATAGTCTTATGAATGTCATTGCCTGAACATAGAGACTCTATTTTCTACGATGGTGTTTGATCTGCGTGACTTGATGACGGAAATACTTTATATATATATATCTATTTCATATTGATTCGATGATAGTGATAGTTTTTTTTTGTATTTGTGTGCCTAACAACTCTCTTTTTTCAATGAGTCCCGCTAGAACTTTTGCAAGTACACATCAGAGTTTGTCTATTGAACGAGTTCTCTTGTTGTTATCGTCAATGAGTATGCTTGCCGACAATTTTGACGGCAAATGCAAACGCATTTAATGAGTGACATGCTTTTAGTTTTTTACGTTAAATCGCATATAAATATATACAATGAGTCTATTTTCTTGACTAGAGAAGGTAAATATTTGATAAAGATATAGAAAACTAACCATGTGTCACAATACAATAATAAACGATCACATTTTATTGATCTATTACTGAATATAAAAGAAATTGTAAGGTGTTAATTAATGTAATGTCAATTCGATTAACATATAATTCTTAAATAAGAAATCATATAAATTCTTTTTTTTTTCTCCGATTCTTCCTAATTCTTAGTCGCTATATATATATATATATTTGAATGAAACACTTAATATTGACAAACATCCTACTCAATGATCTATCAATTATAAACAAATGAAAGACGAAAGTTTATCCTGTCATATGAAATAATAATATCAATGTGTTTTTCTTATGATATACTAATAATCAATTAAATGTTTTATTTAGATAATATTCTTCTTCTTTGACTTACTAAATATTTTTCGTCAATTAATTACTCGTTAAACATCTTGTTCTAGCCTGTGCAATTTCTATTTAGTTCTTCTTCTTCTAGATGAGAGAAGAGAAAAGCATTCTTCTCTCTTTTTAATGACAACAACAAATCTTAATAGATGACAACAAGCTGAGAAAGCTTTTTGAGTATGTCAATGTGAAATCAATGTGACAGACGTAACAAAAGCTAACGATTATTATGATGATTTGAATCATACTGTGTTATATTATATATTGCTTAATATCTCAAAATATATGAGATCGATCTGTTTTGCTCTTTCATATATATATATATATATATATATACCTCAATAATTTATTTATCGTTAGAATCAAGCAATATATCGATGTGCGTGTGTTTGCTTGGATAAACGAGAAAAGAAAATAAACAATCGATTAATGAAAATCATTAACATAGGTTATTTTTATTAGTCTCATCATAATGACAGCAAACACCTGAAGCAAACACAACAGGAGATATGTTTTTCTCGTTTATATCTGCTGGATTATTATAATATAAATCATCTATATTTTTTTTGTCCAATTATCAAGAAAAAAAAATAGGTGAAGAAAAATTCTTGATCAATAGATGCCATACAAAATTACATGCACGTCGTTTCAAAAACAAATATCAATATGAAAAAAACAATAGTGACTAACATCATAAATAATTGAACGCCTACTAACATACCTGTGTATATACACACGTACCGATAGGAATAAATCATTTATAGAAAATAATTTTAAGGATATTTGTATAATTTATTGAGTGAATTTGTTTTTTACTTGAAAATTATGATAGAGATCTTAGATAAATAGAACTAATTTTCTATTAAGAAACTATTCATAGTCAATTATGAAGAAAAATTGCCGGATTTTGATCGACTTGTTTTCAAAAAACGTGTTAAATAAAAAAAACTCTGCTTCTTTTTATATACTAAGGATAAATAAATACGTTAGTATTTTTTGTCGATTAAATATTACGTCTTCTCATATAAAATAAAATCTATTGTTAGAATTGATAAAAGTTCGTAAGAAAAGAAAAAACCTATTCGTAAATTTCGTCTTTGTCTCTTCAATTGTTTACTGAACAAAGAAACTTAGTTCTCTTATCTTTGTATAATAAAAACGTTCTTTCTTGTACTTTAATAACAACTTTTGAATCATCTTGTTATTCTAGAAAGTCAAGATAAGAACTAGACTTTATCTTTTTGTTTGCTTCGCTTTTTTTTTTGTCTTTGAAATTTTTTGTTTATAATAATAAATATTCAGCTGATGAAACAGTTTTCTATTGTTGTTTATTATAAATATTGAAAAAAATACACACATGAAATAGATTGAAGCATAAAATAGGAAAAAAAACACCAGTGTCTATATAAGAATATCTTTTAAATGTTTATTTTTTTGCAAATTTTCCGAAAAGGATGAAACCACCAACTCCACCAATTAATAAACCAACAATAATTAAACCAATCCAAAGTCCGGTTATTTTTGGACCGGAACTTTTTGTGATTGTTTCTGATGATCGATGACCGACATTGAGTGAACCAGGTCGTGCACGTAAATTGACTGTATTTGTACCATATTTAGCACGGAATGCTAAACCATCGGCTTCCATAATTCGTTCAAGACGGTTAATAAGTCCATCTAATGATGTTTCATGAATTGGATCTGCTACATTTCCAGTTATTGGTGGTCTATCAAGTAATGTAAATGTAACAATGATATCATTGCTTGCTCCAGTATCTTGATCAACAATAAGATGTGAAATACGTATTGGTCTTACAAACATGGTAAATACCAATGTTTCCCATATATGAAAACGTAAATAATTCAAATTTTCATATACTGGATATTTTTTATCGTTGACGATTCGGAATGTTAAAACAGCAAGATTATAATTTTCTATAAAATAAAATCAAATGAAAATAATAAGAGAAGAAAACTATGAAATGAATTTTTTTTCTTTACCAGCTGGACCTAAAGCACGATAACATTCAGCTAATGTATAATCAATTTCGAATATTGTCATGGGACGACGACGATAGTTGAAAATATCTTAAAATAAAGATAGAAAAAAAAACTATATATGTATATATATTTAGAAATAAATTTATTTTATTTACTCATTTCAAATGAAGTATTAAGAACTCCATTGTTGTATTGTTTTAAGACTAATTTTACTGGTTCTGAGTGTACTACTGGTTCACCTTCAATATGTGATGACCAATACCATTCGCGATGTTGAAGTACATAACCTGGTAAGACTTTTTCAGCAATCCATACATGACACCAGACTCGATCACGGCAATGTTTTTCACCAGTATATTGATATTCAGCATCATCGAGTAAGAATAAATGTTGTGGACTACCCATATGGAAATTATTTGGATCATCAACATCAGGTACAGCATCATTTCCTTGTGCACTTATATTACTAACACGACAATGATGTCTTTCACTGCTATATCGATAAGTTAGACCAACACCATGATCATGAATTTCAGTAAAATGTTCCCATTGTGGTGAACCTTGTGGATCAGGATACCAAGCATCAAAACGTGTAAATTGAAATTCAGTGTCATATAAATTATGTCCACTAAATATTGCACTTTGATTACCAAATGGTACATTTACTTCAGTATTTGCACTGACTCGTTCTGGAAGGTTTTTTGGTATAGACATTGTTGATGTACGATTTTGACAATAGACGCCGGTTGGTGTTTCTAATGCTTGTCGTTCTTCACGTCTGCTTGGATTTGCATTGTAACGAAAAACGTTGTATGTAAATGAATCTTGAGTTGTTGCATTTTTAACTGTTACATTCATTTGTAAAATGGTAGTTTGGTTTTGTTGAAAGCCAGGTAGAAATTTTGTTGGATCAGATACATGAAAGAAAACAAGTACTGTTGCTCTGATATCATTCAAGTAGAAACATGATCGGAAGATATTTGTTGGAATTCGACGTAATTCACCTTCATTTTCAAAACGAACACCCCATTGAGCATTAGGTTTATTTCGTTGATCATAACCGAGAAGAGCTGATGGTTTAACCATAAGTGTTCTTGGTACAACAACACTTGTTTGAGATTGGTCATTAAGTGTTTGTCGAACACAAAATGGCATGGAGATATTTCCAATACCATAGATGATTTCAAAAAATTCGTTAGTTACGAAATTGTAATAGAAATTATTTGGACCTAAACATAAAAAAAATATTATGAAAATATAATATATTGAATATGTAAATACCTATAGCCGAATTTGTTGCAATAGCATCACGTGAAGTTGAAAAAGCCTGTGAGAGCTCCAAAATGTTTCTCTCAGCTACGAGTTCAGTCATAATTTCGAATCTTGGTGGAATATGGTGCCACTTGGGATCAGGAAATGGTGGAGTTGGTCCATCCGGGCATAGTTGTGGATCCACTTGTTGAGCATGGGTTAATTGAATGAAAATAAACGCAACACTTACAAGATATGTGAGTAGTCGAAACATTTTCACAGTGTCTTCTTTCTTGTATTAAGTGAAAATAACTGTTACAACAATAGTTTTAACAATAATAAGAACTCCTGTAAGACGAGTTTATATGATAAGAAGCAAAAAAAAGGGTGTTTGTTTGCTCGTGTTATCTATTAAAAAAGCGACACTAAACAAAAAGCATCATTTTTTTTCGTAACGACGGCCGGTTTTTTTACATATAAACGGCGTCCAATATAGATTGTTATCTATTTAACAATACTTCTTTGTTTATATCTTTTGTCTTACGTTTTTGCCCATCTATTTAAATATACTCAACGTGAAAATGAGAAGAAAAAAAAGAAGAAGAAAAGAAACAATGATATACTTTTTACAAAATTCTAAATATATTCTAATTGACCTTGAAACCCTACAGATACTTATATAATATTTCTAAATTCAATAATCTTTGCATTTTGTTTTTTTTTTGATTCATTTATCATATAAATTATGTTATATCGAGATACAAGACAATGCATAATAATATTAATTGAAATACACCTGTTTTTGTAATACAATCATCAACGCTTTTGTTGCTTATTCATGAGATCCTTGACGTAATATCAAACGACCTCAGATTATCCATATCTTTACTTGAGCAGAAAAAAATCTGTTATATCGAGTACAGAGCTGATAGATCGTAGAAATGAGAAAAGATAGATGTATTCCATATACATTTTTTTTCCTCTTCTATTTCTTTCCTAAAGACAAGAGAAAACATTGTTTTTCTAATGGATAAAAAGGCAAACGAGAATAAATGCATATTTCTGCAATAGTATATGTATAACAATTCTGTTAGAAGAAAAAAACGACGCCCATTTGTCAGTCGTCGTTTAGTTATTCATACATAGAGGAAATATGTATGCTCCTCGTGCTAAATTCGAACGTATTTATATTGTTTCACCAGTTAAAGTAGCAATTATATTTTTAATGGTTCTTCATTGTCTTTTTTTATTAATTGCATTACTAACATCATTTTGGATTCAAACAAAATTTGGTCATTATGGACCATTGTATAGTTGTGAAAATCGTCTTCATTGGAAAACAACATCTCGTCTATCTTCTATAACAACTGAATGTCAATTTGTTCGATCATTTCATCGTTTAAATCTCTTATGGATGCCTATAACAGCTTTATTCATAGTACTATCTTTTATTATAACATTAATTTCTATTCTTATAGCTACTTTATCTTTTATTAAAACATCATTTACAATTCGTCGTCGTTATTGGTTATTTACCATTTTATTATTATTAATTGTTTTTCTACTTGATTCTTTTGTAATTATATTTATTCCACTTAGTCATCATCATCAAATCTATTATCTACAATGGGCATATGGTATACATTGTGGTGCAACATTATTTATTTCCGTATCGTTAATAACAGCTATTCTCACACATAATACGGATGATATTCAATATATTGAAGCAATAGAGGAGTCATCAATTGATAAATAGTTATAAGAAAACTAAATAAAAAACAGCAAAAATAATAAAATGTGTATGCATGAGTTTTTCATTGTTTCTTTTAATTATATTTAGAATTATATTTTCTTTTTCTTTGTTTGAAATTCTTTTAATGCTTGTTGACAAACTTCCGTCATGATATACGTTCGATCAACTTCCGAAACATTATGAATTTTTAATGTATTTCGTACAGAATTAAGATTTCTAAAAAATAATTCAAAGAAAAAGCAAGTTAAATTTTGTATCGTTTTTTTTCAATATTTTCAAACCTTAATAAAAGAAACATTGTTTTTGGCATCTGCTTAAGTATACGTAATAATGCAAGACGTTTTTTATCCATTAATTTACGAAAATGTTTTCGTACTTCTAAACGTTGTTCATTTGTTAATACATTCTCATATTCCTCTTGAGTTGGCATATGAAATTTTCCACTTTTTAATGCAAACATTTGTAATTCACGCGGTAATGGATCCCAATTATTTGCATATAAAGGAATATTATATTGTTCAGTATCCGGTAATGGTTTCATTGTAACTAATGTACAAAATAATTCATACTCCTTTTCTGGTGCACCTAATGCCGTCGCTGCTTGTTTCATACGTATATGATCATTTGTTATTGATGCCATCCATAAATCACATAAAATTTTACGTTCTTCACTCAATAAAGTTTCATAAAGGCCATGATCAAGAAGAACAATTTGTGCTTTTCGATAATTTTTTGATTTCGGATCATTATTAACTTGAACATGAACATTACCAGGATGTGGATCAGCATGTACAAAACCAATACGAAATATTTGTTCAGCAAACATACGAATTAATTTTTCATCAATCTATATAAAAACAGATGTATTATTATTTATATAGCGAAGCATATTTCTCAAAGGAATTCATGCTGTATGAATACAAATGAGAGTTATTGAAGTAGAAAATATATGCATACAAATTTTGAACTATCAGTTTTTATGTTCCAACTTATTTTTTATATCTCTATTTCAATGATAACATCGTAGTTCCAATCTCGAATATCTTAGATAGAATCTTAATGTTTTTTTTAGTTGATACTTCATTCGCAGCTGTTGAATAATTATATCAATTAATAACTATTGTTGATTTAGAGAAAAATGAAACTATTATGTATTTTTCTCATGTTGAGTTTTTTTCGATAGATTAAAATAACAAATTAATATTTATCGTGTGTTTAGTGTGATTTATGTTCT